CTGATGCTATTCAACATCATTTTTAGAGACCTAGACCATTAAGTAGGTGTGGCAATGAAAATGAGATATAAATATTATAAAGGATAAGCTACATATCTGTCACTATTTTGAAAAAACTTATGATTCTCTACTTAGAAAATCCAAGAAGAAAGTTATTAAATTACTGAAGGAATTTAGTAACAATAGTTGGATACAGAGCAAATATACCAAAGTCAGTTGCTTCGCCATGGAACCTTTTTCCAGTGAAACCTTTTATTCCTATTACATTTCAGTTGGTTAGAGGGAGAACAACTGAAGTGTAATAGTAATAAGAGCTTCCATTCCCAAGTCACAATTACACAGAAACAATATAAGATATAAGAGTAAATCTACAATAAATATCTAAAACTTGTGAAGAAAACTGAAAAACTTTACTGAAAGACATAGTTGAAGACCTGAATACATGGACTTCCACATTCCCAATTTGGAAAAATCAAGTCTTCCTAAATTATACCAAAATTCAGTGTCATTCCACAGAAAACAATGTTTTTTTAAAATTTGACACATTGATTTTGAAGTGTACTTTGAAGAAAAAATGCATTTCAATCATCATAAATATTTTGAAAGGATTGACAATAAGATGGCATTTTGCTTTACTAATGTCAAATATATAACCAAAAGCTGTGTTCATTTAAAACATTATAGCCCAGCCAGTGTGGCTTAGTGGTTGAGCATCAGACCCATGAGCCAGGAGGTCACAATTCGATTCCCAGTCAGGGCACATGCTTGGATGGCGGCCTTAATCCCCTGTAGGGTGCGTGCAGGAGGCAGCTGATCAAATGGTTCTCTCTTATCATTGATCTTTCTATGCCTCCTCTCTCTCTGAAATCAATAAAAACATATTTAAAAAACAATAACACTATGACATTTGAGTAGGAAGAGACAAATAAGTAAGTGGAAGAGAATAGAGAACATAAAAACCTACCCAAGTATTGATTTCCTGTTATGCTCTTTATCCCATCCATTCTCCCACCAAGTAAGCCAGATTATCCTACGAGATGATAACTAGACTGATCTAGGATCAGGCGAGTTTAATGGGATTTCATGAGAAAATTGATTTTTACTTTTTACCAGACCCGGTTTCATTTCAGCAGTGCCAGTGTGTGTTATTACACTACTAGAGGCCCGGTGCACGAATTCATGTACGGGTGGGGTCCCGAGGACGCTATTGGCCCTCTGAGCAGGCAGTGGGATGCCCTTACAGGCCCAGGATCTGGATCCCTCCCACTGACATTCGCACTGGTTGTCAGGAGCCACCTGGTGGCCGCTTTTATATCCTTTCTTCCTTGCGGAGTGTCTAGGGAGGGGAAGCTGTCGTGGTACGCAAGGCCAACTTCCAGGAGGCCAGCGGCACTGGTCCATCAGTGCCTGGCCCATTCTCTGGAGATTGGACATGCAGGACTACTGAGGGAGTAAGTGGCTGCTGCCGGGTTGGTGGGTTACTGGGATGGGTCTGTCAGCTGAGCTGCGCTCCCTCTGTGGGAGCGCACTGACCACTAGGGCACAGCTCCTGCATTGAGTATCTGCCCTTCTGGTGGTCAGCGCATGTCATAGCGACTGGTCCACTGTCTGCCCCCTGGTGGTCAGTGCACGTCATAGCGAGTGGTTGAGAAGCCTTAGCATATTATCAGTATATTACACTTTGATTGGTTGAACGGACGACTGGATGACTGGACAACTGGATGACCGGACACTTAGCATATTAGGCTTTTATTATATAGGATCATATGCTTCCCCTTTTAATCTGGGGAACATTTAATTAAGGTGGTGCTAAATTGACTTGTGGTCACTTAATGCTGTTATCAAAAATGATGGTTGCTTTTGCTGAGGCCATAGTGTGTAGAATTTATGCAGTAGAATTTTAATGAAAACCTTTAACTCTACTTGGTAGATTTCTTCTGATACTCATTCTCAGGTAGTTAAAGAATACAAAATTATTCTACAGTTCTGCCCATTTTCTCTTACTTTCTCTTACTATAGGATGGGTTAGAGGCAAACATCACAGGCCATTACTGTAAAATTTTAGGGAAGAAGAGCGTGTTTGAAAAGGTAGTGGGCATGACTGTATGTGAAACATTAGCAGTGGTTCTCAACCCTTCTAATGCCACGACCCTTTAATACAGTTCCTCATGTTGTGGTGACCCCCAGTCATAAAATTATTTTCATTGCTACTTCATAACTGTAATTTTGCTACTGTTATGAATTGTAATGTAAATATCTGATATGCTATATGTATTTTCCAATGGTCACGACCCACAGGTTGAGAACCGCTGCATTAGAGGGAGAACAACAGGATTTGCTAATTGATTGTTAGAAGTGAAGGAGGAGGAGGAGTTGCCTGCATTAGCTCATAGAAGGGGGATCACATTACCAGTTGCAGTGGTCCAGCAGGTTTGGCGTGCTCCGGCACATGATAGACTGAGCCTAAGGAAGGGCAGCTCAGTGAGAAAACAGGCACTTGTGAGCACCAAAAGTCATAGATCAAGCCCATAGTAGGCCATAGCAAACATAGAAGATATAGGCAAAAATTGTGGTTCAGGATGTTAGACTGAGGCATGGCTTCAGATGCTGGTGCAAAAACAGCTTCACAGGGAGAGGTCCTCTAGGAAATTCACTGGAGAAGAGGTGTCTGGGGCCACGGAGGCCTAAGGAAAGGGCCAGCAAGCAGAAGCAGGAATGTAATTTGTGGTCACAGACGAGATTGGGCTTCCTGCCCTGGGATATAAGTGTAAAAGGGGACTTAGGATAGTAGACTGATCCCTGAGGAGTGTTCAGGGAGATTACTGCCCATTCTTGATACTGAGTTGTTCATTGTCTCACTTCTCACCCTTGGCAAAGCAAAAATAATTTCCTAATTCTTATGGCTTACCTGAGCATTGTTATTAATATACTGCTGAGCTACTTGCCTCTGGTACCAGGTTGCTTTATCTCTCTGAAGCACTATTTTAAGAATCTCCCTAAAGCCATTTGTTTTCTGTCAGATTAAGTTCCAGTGCTTTACTCTAGAACTCAGAGATTATTGTCAATTTACCTATCTTTTTCTATGAATGCAAATCCTATGCTCCAGGAAGATTATTGCTACAAACATTTACTATGAAGTAGCATACACTTATTAAAAATGACCTACTGAACTATTTAGTGACTTGGGAAAATGGCCCTGAACTATAATAATAGAAGTGTAATATGGTAATTAGACCAGATAGCCAAATGACCTTCCAGATGACCTTCCAGACAAAACTGGGGCTGTGAGGGCTGAGGCAAGCTGCCGCAGCTTCGAGGGCCAAGCCCCCTTGCATGAATTTCATGCATCGGGCCTCTTGTATAGTAATAAGTTAAGAAGATCAGATTGCTGAACAGTATAGTATAATCCTTTTTTTTTTTTTTAATATATATTTTATTGATTTTTTACAGAGAGGAAGGGAGAGGGATAGAGAGCTAGAAACATCGATGAGAGAGAAACATCGATCAGCTGCCTCCTGCACACCCCACACTGGGGATGTGACCACACCCAAGGCACATGCCTCCGACTGGAATCGAACCTGGGACCCTTCAGTCCGCAGGCTGATGCTCTATCCACTGAGCCAAATCAGTCAGGGCAGTATAATCCCTTTTTTTTTTTTTTTTTGCCAAAAAAGAAAACAAAAAATTTATATCTATAAATTTCTGAAGTTCTGTCTTCTAAATTATATACAATAATTATCTCACTTTTATAATCAGGAATATAATCCTTCTGTTAAAAAATTAATTTGTTATAGTTAGTTCAGAGAGAAAATAAAAAACAGTGGACAATTATTTATATACAGGGTAAAGACAGCAAATTAAGGAAAACAGAAGAGACTTCCTTCTCCTGCTACGCACACTTCTTCTAATTCTGTTCATCTTAACCCTAGAGAGAATTCAGAATGACTCTTGGTAGTAACTGTACTATAGTGATCTAGAGTTAGCAACTTTAGATGGTGTTACCACTAAATGGTGTCTTTAGTGGTAGTCATGAACACCCTATCAGGGTTTCACTTTTTAAAGAAAACTAATAACTACAATGAATAACTTTCTAATTAAATAAATATGCCTATATTAAGAGTGCATAGTAGGCATTCTACCTTTAGAATAGTGATTTTCAACCTATGTGCTACAAGAATTTTTAAAACATGCAATATCTGACCTCTTTTCCCTTAGATTGTCACATGAAAAAAATGATGACAGCTCAACAATAGCCATCTGGTGTGAATGAATCAAAATTATACCTTTTTTTTTGTCAGATTGGCAAAAAATATATTTTTTGGTGTGCCACAGATTTTAGTAACTAGTTTGTGTGTACCATGAGATGAAAAAAGTTGAAAATCTCTGCTCTAGAGAAACCTCTAGCTCAGAAATTTAATGTTCTTTAAGACTAAAACTGAAGAAATAAATTACACGTCCTTCAAAGTTCCAGTTTAAAATCTTCAGGCTGTTAATAACATTCATTGTAGAATCTTTGAAGTATTAATTCATTGTACTTATGTGGACAGTCTATAATAATAAAAGGGTAACATGCTAATTAGACCAGACATCATTCCAGACGTCCTTCCTGACAAAGTCAGGGCTGCAGGGAAGCCAGCCCGGATCCTGGGTGCCTGCGGGCAGCCCGAGGAGGGAAGCCAGCCCAGGTCCGGGGGTCCACAGGCGGCCGAGGAGGGAAGCCAGCCCAGTCCTGGCAGCCTGCGTGCGGCCAGAGGAGGGAAGCCTGGTCCTGGGTGCTGGAGGGAAGCCGGTGCCAGCAGCCCAGGGAAGGAAGGCCTACTCTTGCATGAGTTTTCATGCATTGGGCCTCTATTTAATTTATAAAATGATTCAGTTCTTCAAAAGACAATATTTTCAAATTTTCATTTACTCTGTTAATTCACTTTTAGCACAATTAAAAGCATTTACAATCTAAAAGGAGATGTTATTTCACATAGTTGAAACTTTTTTACTTTCTTTAGATAGCAATTGGCAGAACAGACATTGAAGACTTAGACCTCTATGCTACATCTCGGGAAAGGCGGTTTCGTTTGTTTGCCTCTATAGAATGTGAAGGGCAGTTATTCATGACTCCGTATGATTTTATTTTGGCTGTTACAACAGATGAGCCCAAACGTAAGTATATTTTTAAAAATACCTTAATAATTTTATAAGATTGTTTAATCTCTAGTGTGGAGCAGTATAAGTTTTTCAGAACAACTAACCAAGTAATGTATTTAGAAGACATTATGCTATACAGTGTTACCAGACTAATAGTTCTTACAAACTCTTATTGGTATCTCTTCTCTTTTTCAGAATTTTTCAGTTGTTCCCTTTCTCAGTACATTAAGCTTAAACACCACCTTCACTCTTAAAATGCTTTATAACTTCATATTCTTTAAACTTATATTCTGCCTAGTCAATTTTTACATCCAGCCTAAACAGAGTAATTCAGAGGACTGGCTTTGAAGTTAGACCTGGGCAAGAATTCTGCCTATATCTTTTATATTTGTCATGGCTCCTGCAGTATAAGTATAGGCTGATTGTTTTTCACCTTTCCATGTGCTGGGCAGTGGCTCTCAAACTTTTTGGCAATATATACATTTTTGCAGACTTCTTTAATATCTGACTTAATAAAGGATAGTTGGATTCTCATATCTGCTTTTGTATTCAGTATGTTGCAATATGTTGTTTTTCATGAAGTATGTGAGCAAAATCTGCCTCACAGATATAAAAGTAGCAAAAGTATATTGAAATTAGACTGACTAGTGTTTAAACTTTGGCATTCATTTAGTAGCTTTGAGAACTTGGTTAACGTATTCAATCTTCTGTTTCCTCGTTTAAAAAGCTAAAAATAAAAATAGCCTTGTGAGGTTTTTTGAGGATTAAATATATCAGTTGTACTTAGTGTAATACCTGACACACAATAATCCTATATAATAAAAGCGTAATATGCAAATCGACCAAAAGGTGGAACAACCGGTCGGCGGGGGGGCAGGGCCAGCAAGCAGGCAGCACCAGGCCAGACAAGGCACGTGCAAGTGGGCAGAGAGAGGGGCCGGCGATGGGCGGGTCGGCGACCAGCGATGGCAGAGGGGTGATTGGGGGGGACGGGGACGGCCACTCGTTGGCTGGTGCCGTCCCCTGATCAGCCCTCTGGTCGCCTCCCACAGAGGGAGGCCAGGCTTAGGCCCCCTCCGGGCCTCTAGTTGCTTAATAAATGTTAGTAGATATTATCATCATCATTATCGCTTGAATTTGTAACCATGATTTAAACACTTTTTTAAAATATATTTTACTGATTTTTTACAGAGAAGAAGGAAGAGGGATAGAGAACTAGAAACATTGATGAGAGAGAAACATTGATCAGCTGCCTCCCACACACCTCCTCCTGGGGATGTGCCCGCAACCAAGGTATATGCCCTTGACCAGAATTGAACCTGGGACCTTTCAGTCTGCAGGCCAACGCTCTATCCACTGAGCCAAACTGGTTAGGCTAAACATTTTTTTATATATAATTTTATGGTGATATCAATAGGAAGAAAAAGGTATCCTATGTAAACATTTGCTCAATAATTATAGTACAAAGTAAATATCAATTGAGGTATACATCTGATTGTTGTTGATTATAACTTTGTGTTTGAAATTGAGAAAATTTCTTATTTTATCTACTTAAATGGAACCTAAAAGGTGAATGTCCCTTCTAGAACTAAAATAAGTAATTATTTTTCTCATATAGCTTCAAATATTATTTTAATTTTAGTTTTAAAAGATGTATTATTAAAAAATTAGACATACATAAAAATACTAAAAATACAATGAATATCAACCTATAGCTTTAAGAAATAAAATATATCCAATAGAATTGAAGTCCCTTTTCATCCAAGTTATATATATATATAGTAACTACATATTAAATAAGGAGTTTAGAAAATCAGAAAATCCTTTGAAGAACAATCTTAATAGCTCTTTAGTCTTTATAAGAAAAAGCTAATAATATTGGACATGGTGACATATCCGGCAGAATGAATATGTCTTTTGTGAATAATTTACCCTGGAGATCTCATAAACCCTACAAAACTCAAGAGTGTTTCTAACTTCCTCTTTTGATAAATAGCTTCTGAACATTACATCAGAGCATGTGCATGTACTTTTGTGCCATTTATTTTTCTTCTTTTTTTTGTTATATTTCAAAAGCAACAGAGTATTAACATTGTTCTGCTTATTATGAAAAGGAGGATGTCTTTTAAAGTGAATGCATATAGTATCATAATTAAGGTTAACTGCTGAATTCAACTTTATAGGCCTATGATTTTAATCACTTGATTATATGTTTGTATAAACTATCTTGAGTAAAGAAAGGATTTTGTTTCTACATAGAGAAGAAATCTATCTGCCTAAAAATCAGATTGCTAAATTTTAAAACATACTTCTTTGTATTTTAAGATGATGTATTGACTAAGAAAAAGAAAAAGAAAGTTATGTAGCAAAAAAAAAAAAGCCTTTCTTATAATCTTGAATTTGATTTATTGTTTACATTAACTATGGTTAATTATATAGAAATAACAACATCGCCATGTAGGGATATTATTGGTTGTCATTATTGTAATGTAGTTAGGATACTTAATATTTACCAGTTCCTAATTAAGCTGTTTAATAGGAATTAATCCCATATAAACATGAGGTTAGTCATTAGATATTCACAGTGTTTAAATCTGAGCAAAGGAAACAGCAGTATGACTCACATTTATTTCAATATTATAAGATTCATAGTTTTTGATATCTTCAGGAGTGTGAAGAGGAATCAGAAAAAGAAAGTGATCACTGGTATTTTATTCAACTACTAGAGGCTCAGTACACGAATTTGTGCACCAGTGGGGTCCCTCAGCCTGGCCTGCGGGATTGGTCCAAAACTGGTTCGCCAACATCCCCCAAGGGGTCTTGGATTGTGAGAAGGCACAGGCCAGGTTGAGGGACCCCACTGGTGCACGCTCGGGGCTGGGGAGGGACACGGGAGGTTGGCCAGCCACAGAGGGACTGTGGAGGGCTCCAGGGCATGTCTGGCCCATCTCACTCAGTCCCTATCAGCCGGACCTCAGCAGCAAGCTAACCTACTGGTCAGAGCATCTGCCCCCTGGTGGTCAGTGCACGTCATAGTGAGCAATTGATTAGCCTTAGCATATCATTAGCATATTACAGTTTGATTGGTTGAACAGCCAACCAGATACCTTAGCATATTATGCTTTTATTATATAGGATAATATTTTTAGCGGAGAAGAATGGAAAACAGGATGAGACTCCCTACCTCACATTACTTGCTCTCTCCTTCATCTCTTTTACCTTTGTCCCTATCCTTCCCACTCACCCTAGAGAGACCTGACCTTTTAATTATAATCAGCGATAGTAACATAGTAGACAGCATGGGTAATGCCTTAAAATTATAGTTTATGTTAATATTTTATATTCTATGAATATTTAATACCATTATTTGTGTTTTTAAGACCATAGGATGTTTAACATTAAGTTAACTTATTTTATAAATCTAGAAATGCACAAAGTTAGATAATAATTATGGAAAACGTGTTTCCTATTCAAATTATTTATTATAGTTTATAGTACATGAAACAAAAAAACATACCATAAATAAAATACCTTGGATCCAAATCTTGAGAAACATTGCCTTTTAGATATAAAGCTGGGTTTTAGGAGTTATGGTTGTTGATAGTTACTGAATTTAGATCTATATGACATTAAGTATTATCTAATTCTTATATATTTGTTTATTATAGTTGCTAAAACATGGAAGTCACTTTCCAAACCGGTAAGTTAAAGCTCTTGGTATACATACACATTCATTCATTCAGTCTCTCTCTCTCTCTCTCTCTCTCTCTCTCTCTCTCTCTCTCTCTCTCTCTCACACACACACACACACACACACACACTCACTCACTCTCTTTCTCTCTCTCTCTCTCTCTCTCTCTCTCACACACACACACACATACAATTTGGTATATATATTTTCTAGAAATTAAATCACATCCAGGAACCATTTGAAGATGTGGATCAGTGGTAACTCTCATGTGTGAATGTAAGTTGGCATACCCACTTTGGAAAAACAGTTTGGCAGTATCTACTAAAACTAAAGATCCACATATTCTATACCTAGCAGTTCTACTCCTGGGCTTAAGTTCTACAACTGTGCATGCATATATACCTAGTAAGCTTACACTTGAATATGCCCTATGATCCAATAATTTCACACCAGTGTATGTATCCAGAAAAACTTCCATATATGCAGGAAAGATTGATAGGAATGGCCATAGATTGTTCATGTTGGCCAACAAGACTGTGATACAATATCAACAGTAGAATTGACAAATGAGTTTTGATATAGTCATACAGTGAATACTATATTAACAGTGAAAACAAATGAACTATAGCAATGCTTTTACTAGCTGAATCTCAGAAACCATGACAAAGTAAGCAATTCAAAAATACATAAAGTATAATTCCATTTGTATAAGTTTCAAAACTGGGGAAATGAAACCATACTGTAAAGGATACATTCATAGGTGGGAAAATACCTACCTGAGGAATGATAAACTTAAAATTAAAGACAATATTTATCTCTGGGAGAGATGGAGGGAATATTATAAGTGAGGGATGCTGAGAGGCTACTTTGAAATTTTAGAAATATTTTCTGTAAAGTTAGATATAATGCAAATATGTGTCCTGTCACAACTACTACTTACTGACTACAGGTGTAAGCTAATGCAGTGCGTTACTTTGCTAAGGCTGCCATAACAAATACCACAGTCTGGGTGGCTTAAACAACAGAAATTTATTTTCTCATAGTTCAGGAGGTTGGAAGTTTAAGATCAAGATGTTGGCAGGCTTGTTTTCTCTTGAGGCCTCTCTCCTTGGCGTGTAGATGGCCATCTCCCTCTGCCGTCTTCACATCTTTCCTCCTTGTGTGCCTGTGCTAATCCCTGCTTATAGGGGACCAGTCACATTGCATTAGAGCCCGCCGTAATGACCTCATTTAATCATGTTTACTCCTCTTTAAAGGTTCATCTCCAAACACGATCATATTCTGAAGTGATGACAGTTAGGACTTCAGATGTGAATCTGAGGTAGACACAACTTAGCCTATAACTTATCGTATGACCAAAAAAAAAGGCTTTAAGGATTGGAACTGTAGCAAACAATATTATTGAGAGAAACATATAAAAATGCATAGATTTCAAATTTATTCAAATTTAGTACAAGTTTAATAAGGTTGCTGCTGCATGTAACATTCTTGAACCAAAGTGAATAAAATATTTCTGCACCAGCAATAGCAACTGTATTATCAAATAAGACACATTTTACCGTAGCAAGAAAAACTGTTAGATACTTAGTGTACCTGACAGAGGTACAGATGGATATATATATAAATAAATGTATTGGGGTGAGATTGGTTAGTAAGGTTATATAGGTTTCACGTGTATGTTTCTGTGATACGTGATTGTATATTGCATTGTGTGCCCATCACCCAAAGTCAGATCAACTTTTGTCACCATATACTTGCCCCCTTTACCCTTTACTACTCCCTACACCTCCTTCCCTCTGGTAACCATCATACTGTTGTCTGTGTCTATGAGTTTAAGTTTTATATCCCACATATGAGTGAAATCATATGGTTCTTAGCTTCTTCTGACAGACTGACTTTGCTTAGCATAATTTTCTCAAGATCTATGCATGTTGTTGCAAATAGCAGTATTTCATCTTTTCTTATGGCTGAGTTGTATTCCATTATGTGTATGTACCACATCTTCTTTATCCAATCCTCTATTGAAGGACACTTGGGTTGTTTCCATGTCTTGGCCACTGTGAATAATGCTGCAATGAGCATGGGGGTGCATATATCTTTACGAATAAAAGTTTTCAAAAATTTTAGGGTAGATACCCAGAATAGGGATTGCTGGGTCATATGGTAATAACTCTCTTCTTAATTTTTTGAGGAACCTCCATACTTTTTTCCATAGTGGCTATACCAGTTTACATTCCCACCACCAGTGAATGAGGGTCCTTTTCTCCACAACCTTTCAACACTAGTTATTACTTGTATTGTTGATAATAGCCATTCTAACAGGTGTGAGGTGGTATTCCATTGTAGTTTTGATTTGCATTTTCCTAATAGCTGGTGAAGTTGAGCATATTTTCATTTATCTGTTGGCCATTTATATGTCTTCTTAGGAGAAGTCTTTGTTCAGGTCCTCTGCCCATTTATAAATTGGATTGTTTGTTTTTATTTTGTTGAGTTGTATGAGTTGTTTATATATTTTAGGTTTTAAACCCTTGTCATGGCTGTTGTTTGCAGATCATCTCCGATTTGGATGGTTGGCTTTTTGCTTTGTTGTCACTTTCTTTTGCTCTACAGAAGCTTTTTAGTTCAATATAGTCCCATTCATTTACTTTTGCCTTTACTTACTAATTTTCATGTAATGTATGTATATTAACTGTATAATAAGACAAAATTATACTCATTTAAGAAAATTATATGAATCCTTTAAAAGGCAACTATAATTCTAGGTAACTGAGTTCAATCCATCAAGTATTTATTTTGTTCCTATTTGCAATGCTGCAATATAATTCTGACACTAACTACCCGGAGTTATTGTCAGACTCAACAGGTTTAAGGACCCAGCCCCCAATAAGACTGCCTTCATTTCAGATGCCAGCTGCAAACTCAAGGTTCCCAGGCCACCCATACTTCTGACCAATTGGCTACAAGTCCATGCAGTTCCCACAACTCACCTTAAGTTCAGTAATTTGCTAGTCTGCCTCATTAGGACTGTGGAATCTTCTACACTTAAAATTACAGTTTATAATTATTATAAGGGACACAAATAAGGACCAGCCAAATGGTGATCACATAGGGCAAGGTATGGGAGGGCCTCAAACACAGAACTGCTGTGCCCTCTCCCCATAGTCTCAGGTATGTCACCCTCATGTCACATCAGTGTATTCATCAACCTGAAAGCTACACTGAGCTTGGGAGTTTCATTGCATAAGTATGATTGATTGGATCATTGGCCACATGATTAAACTCAGTCTCCAGTCCCTCTCCCTCCCCCTCAGAGGTTGCCTAGCTTAAAGCCCCAACGCTCTAATCATATGGTTGTTCTTTCTGGTGATCAGCATCTTAGCCTAAACTCAGGTGTGACGCATGGATATAGAGTCTCCCTCCCAGGAATCTGGGACAAAGGCATCAACTTCTTTATTATACAACACTACTACATATAAGAGACTAAGATAGGTACCAGAGAGGGGAGAGAGATTCCCAGCCTGAACGGAAAATAGATTTTAATAAAATTTAATAGTGTTTAAATTTAACAGAAGACAAAAAATGAGTGTGTCCGTTGGATGATCTATATCAGAAGAAATTAAATTATTACTAAAATAAACTGCTTAAAGTCAGTCAGGATCTACCAGTCATTTACTAGTTGTGTGATCTCGGGTGAGTTACTTGTGTTTTTTAAGACTCAGTAAAATACACAAAATGAGGATTGTCTTTTAAAATTAAATGAGATCTTGTAATAGCCCCATTGAGGGCACTCAGTGACAGGTAGCTATGCTTTTGTGGTCTTAAACGCTGGCCAAATACATGGAAACAGTTAAAATGAAAGAGAAGTTAATATATAATAGAGATGATAAAAAAAGTAAGTGTAGAAAATGCATTTAAAATGTTTTTAAATCTCTTGCTCTAACAAAAATATTTGTTTAGTGTTGTGTAAACAGTAAATACCCCAGCTTTTCATCATTATTCATACCTGAGTTTTTACCTCTCTGCCATTGCTACCAATTACCTGCAGTGCAGAGACCACACCATGAAGGAAAGGAAAGCCAGGATTCACAGGTGGACTTCAGAGAGTCCCTAAAGCCCCTAAAAATACCTCTCCTGTCTTTGGCATCCAGGGATTTCTAATTTGCATGCTAGCCCCACTTTGTAATGAAAAGGATGATTTCTAAATGTCACAGAACATTTTCAGGTAAAATTACATCAGGAAGGGTTTGTCTAAAGTGCTTCTAAACTCAAATATGCATAAAAGTCTCCTGGGCATCGTGTTGAAAACACAGATTCTGGTTCAGCAGGCCTGAGAGGGAACTGAGCGTCTGCATCTCTAACAACCCCCCGTAATGCTTGGGCTACTGGACTTTGAGGAGCAAGAATCAGACCTAGAAACAGAAGTGGTTTCTAGTGTTTTCTTCAGTGTGTTATTTAGCAGACTAATTTTTAAATTTCAAATTATTTCAAGTTATCTCTACAAATCCTTTAATAATTTTTCTTCACATTTAACCAAACTATATTTTCACTTAGTTGTTTTCAACACAGTATATAAATACATTTAAAATTGTTTTAGTATATAAAGAGTAATTCAAATGTTTAAATTTTCCAAAATAGTTTTCCCCCCACCAGCTGTGATAGTTTGATTTTAAAAAAACAAACAAACAAACAAAAACCAATTGAAGTCTGTGTTCTTTAATGACTAAGGTAAAATTAGAAAAAAATTGAAAGTGTACACAATAATTTAATGTCCTTGTCCCGTAACTTCATCTAATGTCATAATTCTTTGAGTCACTATTAAAATATTCTTCATTCCTTCCTGATATAAACCTTTGTCCATTTACTTCTACCACAAAGCCCCCTAAATACAACACGCCTACAGAGAACAGTATGTGAAGCCAGGGGATCACCTCTGACCTTAATTAGGAAGTCCACCTTTTTCAATGGCTTCCATGAAAATGTACTTTTCTAACTGGCTCCACAACTTACTGTTTTATCTTAATTTGATTACCATATACACATTAATCTAATTATTAAATTTATTTGCAATTTTTGGTAGCTCTAATTGAGCTACCAATTGTAGCATCTTTATCATTTATTTTATATTTAAACTCTGGGCAAATGTTGGCTTTTGTGGTGGTTGAATGAACTATGGGTAGAGAATAGGATAAATATAGCCATATCTCAGATCTTCTAAGTGAAGAATTCTTTTTACATAAGCATTTAGATATTTTTTATCTTGTTTAGAATTAATTTACCTATTAATCAGCATTATGATACCTTATGTCATAGGAATTAAATCAAATGCTCTCAGAAACGCCACCAGTTTGGAAAGGATCATCAAAGCTATTTCGAAACCTTAAAGAAAGAGGTAAGTTAACTTTAGTATTTATATATTTGAATATTGACACAATATTGACACTTATACTGTATATATACAGATTTTTCTCATACTTCAAGTAATTTTACAGCTATGTGTACATTGAGAAAACACTGAAGAGAAAAACACAGAAATATAATAATGGTTATATCTGGGTAGTGGGATTAAGGGTGGTTTTAATTTTACTTTTTATATATATTACTAGAGGCCCAGTGCACAAAAATTTGTGCACTGGCGGGGGGAGGGGTGGGGTTGTCCCTCAGCCTGACCTATGCCCTCTCACAGTCTGGGACCCCTCGGGAGATAACGACCTCCTAGCTTAGGCCTGCTCCCCGGTTGGCAGATGGCAGGCCGGATCCCAGGGTTGGGGTGGGCGGCAGATGGTGTGGCCCTGCCTCGCCGCCCCGGGTCACACAGGGCAGGCCAGATCCCGGGGTTGGGTTGGGTGGCGGATGGCGCTGCCCCGCCCTGCCCTCCTGCAGTATGCAAATTTAACGGCCATTTTTGTTGGGTTAATTTGCATACTCTTCTGATTGGCTCATGGGTGTAGCGAAGGTATGGTCAATTAGCATCTTTGTCTTTTATTAGTGTAGATTATATTGTCTAAATTTTTAGAACAAAATGAACTTTCACAGGTTTAAAAAAACATTTTTAACCATATTGAAAAGTGTAGGTTATATTTACCTATAGAAAGCATTTTTCCAAAATACTGATTTTTAAATGTCTGTTACTTCCAGGGAATAATAGATTTTTCTTAAGTTTAATCAATATGAAAAAAATTATTGAATCTATGGTTGGCCACTCAATTTGAACATGTTTCTTTTAAAAACAACACTTCCCACAAAATTCACTTATTTCAACTTATACTGTTACCCATATCTGTGCATCTAACTTAACTCACTAATTCATACATACAGTCAAATTATATAGTTTTTATTGCAATTTTTGCAATGTAATTTTTGTACATATTTATGCAAAAACTAATAAAATCTTTAAGATTAATTTAGTCTTAAAAAAGAATGTTTTTTGTAATATTCTCAACAATGAAAGTATATGATATAAAAATATTAAAGAAGTGACATAAAATTACCTTTTTCTTTTTCATCATTTTTAACCAATACTGGTTGGAAAATGTATTTACTCTAGTATGAAGACAAATAGTTTAAAGGAGTAGTTATAATCCATATATCTTGTCTAATAGAATTAGAAATTCATACTGCTTCCACCTGGTTCTCATGGAATCTGAAAGGAGGAACACTGTACCTTTTATTTTAGGCCTTTCATAATGTAGGATTTTTACCTCTTCGCAAAATCTGGCCCAAGGTATCTTTAAAGCTCTTAGAAATTTTTTCCTGGAAGTTGTCTTAAAGATTGCTGTTCAGATCTTAGGGTGGGATGATAAGGTCAGGAAATGTATTCCACTAGATCAATTTGAACAACAGTCAGTAAGATGGGACTGTGGAGACAGCCCGTTTCCTGATCCCATTTCCTTTTTCCCCTCCTGCATTTATTCTTTCTTTTTCACTTTTTGTTTTTTTGAGGGATCCCTATGGAATCTAGGTATTGTATCTTTATATACATTGACCATTCCAGAATCTTTCTCCCATAGCATTCATGGCAATCAACCAGAACTATGTCTATAGGTCACAATATTCTAGTATAAACAAAAGAGGGGAATGCTTTCAGGGCCTCCTGGCTCAGTCCCTTCATGTCTTCTGACAAACTGCCTGACAGTGACTCCTCTTCTCTTTGTTCTATAACAAAGAGGGTAGCTTCAGAGAACATCAGGTAAAATGGAGGTTTAAAGTTCACAGTCTGATTGTGTAAGGATTTTTTATACTCTTTAACCAAACATCAGGACTACCTGATAGCTGATTAAGTGTTATTGGCTTATTCCCGACTTTTTCTCAGGATCTACTTAGAAAGTAAATTAATGCATTAATTCTAGTTTTGGGTATTATAGTCTAAAAGAAAGAATTTGAGTAACAGGATGTATATTTTTATTTACCCCACTCTAACTCCTTTTAAAGTTTGTGATTCTGGGATTACAGAGAACTCATGCTTCAGTATACAGAAAGTATAAGCCATTTAATTAAAATATAAACTTCTTAGATTACATTTAATAGAAGCATTAAGTTTACAAATGATAACTTATGTCAGCAAAAGGATAACTATAGAGTTTTGTTTTTTGAATGTAGTACAAAAATCGAAATTCTAAGCAAGAATTGTTTTATAAACTGCTACTAAGAATTAAGCACTTTACAATGTTAACCATTTCCAACCTTTTTGTTTTATGTTTGATTCATACACTGAAAACTAGCCATAAGTTTAAAAGTTGCAGCATAAGTAAACATTATAATAATTATTTTTATTGCCAATATATCTGGAAGCATTATGGTAATTTTATATAGGTTTCTTTAGAGACATGAAACAATGAAAGTAAAATTAGTTTTGCTGCTTTTTTGAGCTGTGATTTAATAATAATAGTTTAGTCTCATTTAAAACAATGTTTAGCATCTTCTTTAAAACTGTAAGTTCTTTATTAATATTACTTATTGCTATATAAGAATATTTTACTTGATAAATATGAAGAAAACATAATATTTTTATAGAGCATAACTAGTACTGTTTTTCTTCTAGGTGTGATTTCTTACACAGAATATCTTTTTCTCTTGTGTATTTTAACAAGTAAGTGTACTCATTAAATTTATTTCTGGATGCAATTTTTTAAAATTAGAATTTGTAGAAAACAAATCTTCCTTTTATTCTCTTAGATTCTCTTAAAATACTTTAAGTATGTCTGTGCTGTTTTGCAAAATTCATGTCAAAATAGCCACGGAAAATGCTAAGAATGGTATATCAAGGGTCAAAATCATAAATATTATGGCTTATAATATATTAGTAAAATGTTCATAAATTGTAAACTAATATCCTATATCAATCCCTGTATTTTAGTCTACATGGGAGCCTAAAGGTAGGACATGTAATGATTTGTAAATTTCCTGCTACACTTATTTGAATCACATTTTCTGCAAGACTAATGTGAAAGAATGTCTATCAAAATGTACATCATTCATCCTGAAACAGCTTCATTTTTTTCTTCCTCTTATGTGCAGCAATTCTTATGAAATATATGAAGGGTCTACTAAGGTTTTCAGTTAAATTTCATTGCATTTAATGGTGGAACTATACTCCAGCCACCTGACCTTTCTATTCCTTTATTCCCATCTCAGGAATTTGTACTTTCTGCTCCCTCTACCCTCAGTGCTTTTCTTCAAGATCCTCATGATAATAAACATTATTTAGTTTTCCTTTGGAATGTGAAGACTTGGAGAATTCTTACTTGACCATCCTTTCTAAAATTCCTTGTATTTCTAAAATAGCTCCCTCTCTCATCTCTTCCTTTTTATCCCTTTACAGTGTTTTATTTTCTTCATAGCACTTAAACTATTTGAAAGTACTTGTTTTTTGGTTTACATATTCTTGTCTGTCTTGCCACACTTGACTGCAAGGTCCATGATGGTAAAGATTTTATCTTTTTTGTCCATTTCTGTATTAAGAACAGTGTTCAACACGTGGTAGCCTTTTAAATCATAGTTGGTGAATGAATGAAGACAGGCATGAATGAAAGAATATTGGTGGTGGAATTTCCCATTGTGGGGATTTGTGGAGATATATGGAAACAAGAACTCTCATGATTTAAGTTCAGTCAATAATGAATGTTACCATGAAAATTACAGGAGGGGTGCCAAAGAGTATTTCAAAGACTTGTTAAAAAGTTATCTTGTTATCTAGAATATATTCTGCAGATGCAAAATTTGAAGTTAATATGTACCTAAACCAGTAGAGAAAAACTAAAACAACTAGGTAAGAAAGCCATGTGTTGAGATGGGACAAGATATGGTTTAAGGGTGTTAGAAAAAACACAGATGGTGGGTTTTGCTTACTATGGGAAGATAAAGACCTTTGGGTGCTGTAAATCTTCTTTTGCAATTAAGGACCCCTCTTAGAAACTTTTAGGAGTTTGAATTTTAAATTATGGATATTGTTTAGGTTAGAACCAAGAAAAATGTGAAAAGAGGTCTAGCAGGAGGTAGGTTAGATCACCTATTACCTATCTATAGTTTTCTTCTCTTTACTTTTTATTATTTTAACTTTATTTTCCCTTCCAAATAATGCTTGTAAGGATTTCCTTTTTACATATATTTTTATGATCTTTTTAAAGCTTAAAACTTGGTTATCAGAGATGGTGTAGCTTTTTATTTCTTTCTCAAGTGGATAAGAATGAAAGTGTAAGTTTAGATTCCTAAAATACATGCAAGAAATGAAGTTGCATAAAAGATGGCTTCCATTTCCTTTATTTTCAGAGATAGCTATTACCAGTTAAGAAAGTAGGTCTCTGTACTTCTCCTTTGCTAGATTCAAAATTTCACAACAGCTAGTGGCAAGTGTAGCTGTGGGAGGTCCCTTTTTAAACTTCTTGCCAGTCATCTCAAAAGAGTAGGTCAAATGTTTTGAAAAATGCATGTACACTGAGCTCTTTTAACAACATGTTCAAGTTTTCTTGTGTCCACGTTTTCTTGTTTATGCTTTAGAAGTGAAAAGAGAAAAAGGATTGAACCTCATTGTAGGGTTCATAAAATTAAAGCAGTTCATAGTGTGCTAAAACCTGTCTTTTTCAGAAAATTAATTATTCTTTGTATTTTGGGGACAATTGAGAATTAATTATGTAAGCGTCTTATTTTATATTTCTGTTTTTGAAGTTTAAACTCTAAAAGTTTCAACCCAAATATGCAATCGCTCATGCTTGACTTTTATTTTCATAGGTCATTTCCATTATAATTTCCTCCAGAATTTGGATTACTTTATTGTGTCATATTTATTTTTGGAAGGAAGATAGTGACATTTTACTATCAGTGCCATGCAGCCAGTATCACACAATATTTTTAAAGTATAGTATCAATTCTGTTACTAAATATGCTAATATATGAAGCAGAAATATGTGTATTTCTATACAGCTTTTATTATATTTAATAGCAACATGTTGCTTTAATTTATTGCTTAAAGAAGTTATTTCTGTACTGAATATAAATAACTGTTTACAACTAATATGGACTATGTACTTTAAAGTCATTTCCCATTTCAAAAATACTTCTCTGTCTTTTCTGGCAGAGCCTCATGCAGGGTTTAGAATAGCTTTCAACATGTTCGACACTGATGGCAACGAGATGGTGGACAGAAAGGAGTTTTTGGTGGTATGTATATTATTTGCTGAATTTTTATCAATGATTAAATATTAATTCCTTATATTTTTATGTTTTGTATTATTTGAAGTAACATCGTAGAAGCAAGAGTGAAAATTTTATGCTTTCATGTATATTCTCATATTCTTTGAGTAATTTTTACATTGTAAAAATAAATTATATTCCATGTATAAAGATGGTTACAGTTGTTTACACATTTTCTGGAAGTTTGAAATAAACATTTTCTTTTGAATGGATGCCCAGTGAGTGCTCATTCCCCAACTTATTAGCCACCCAGTCACAGTTCTGCGGAGGAACTTCCTTCTCATTACAGGATTTACAATCATTGTTCTTCCTGTTCTCTTTCATTCACCTCTGCCTTGCATTCCAGTCTTGTCCCCATTTTCCTGTTCTGTTCTCTTGTCTTTGACCAAAGGCTGATCTAAAGAGGAAGAAGAAAGATTGCTTTTTAGATATTTGTCCTTTGATCTTTCTCACCTGACGGGTCCTGTGTTGTTGCTGGTCTAGCAACATCATTTCATCACCCCATGCTGCTTCCGAAATTTTTAAATTTCTTTTTACCCATGTGTTTCTGCTCCTACTTCTGTGGCAAAATAGCTCTTACATTTTTTTTCTCCTAAATAGAGATTAACATTAATTTATTCTTTACATTAACAAGGTCTACTCTTAGCTTTTATGTTCAAGTCTATATTTACCTATATTCTCCTAGTAAAAAATGACATATACATATATATATAGCCATTTTATTTTTGATTTTTCCTTTGTAACAAGCCATTAAAAATTCCTCAGGAAACCTCTGTACTATTTTCTTCGGAGGCTGGAACATGGAAGAGAAACCATGAAATCGTTTTTTTCCATGGTAGGAAAGACAAGAGATAAAAATCCTCATCAAAAGCTAATTAGTAACCATTCGAAAGGAAGCAAGCAGAATAATTGTTGGTATCTATCAAAACGCTTAATCTAATGCCCATGTAGTCCTCACTCCTGAGTACAGTCCCTGAGCCACACCTTTGGAGCTGGAGCCATACAAGACCCCTCATTTTCAGGATGGTAGGGCAGTGAGAGTTTTCAATATCATCGCAAACACAGAGCTATGTTCTTAACATCCTCAAGTGGACAGATTTCGTTTTAAATATAGTTTTGTTGTGATAGTGTACAACTGTATTTTAGGAATTTCCTAATGGGCCTAGTAATCTAAATAACTATCATTAGGCTTTCTGTGGCAACACTGCCAGGTTCCACCCCACTGACTTAAAGATTGACTTTTAGAACTCAGTCCATTGGAAGTTGCCTATATAGGTGTCTTTTGGAATACTATCCATTTGTGGAGATGGGAGGTAAAAACATTTATGTAGAACTTCTGTTTCCACTCTAGACTCATTAAAGCTGCCCTCTCTTTAAAGCTGTGGTTTACTCTTTGCAGTGGCAGTACTGCTTCCTCATGTATGATGTTGGTTTGCAAACAGCAAGAGTTCTGAAAGCAGAAGGTGGAGTTTGGCAGTTATTTATAGAGGCTTAAAGTCCAATTCCCGTGCCTGTTTACAAAGTGATTATTAACCTTTGCTAAAAAAAACAACAACAAAAAACAACAACACTTTTCACTAAGAAAAAGTGTGAAAATGAATTTATATGTTAATAAATTATATTTTGTACTGTGTTTTTATTTCATATTTTGGAAGATAATACATTTTTTTTGACTTTCAACTACTGCCATACAAAATGAAATGGAGAGTTAAGATAGCTGTGTACATTACAGAGACAAGAACAATAACCTTACCAGAAAACTTAGGCTTCCATTTATAAAATAGGATTTTAGAGAAGAAATAATCCTATCTAATAAAAGAGAAACATGGTAATTAGCGTACGACCGCTACCCTTCCCATTGGCTAATCAGGGCGATATGCAAATTAACTGCCAACAAAGATGGCGGTTAACTTGCATACATAGGCGCAATGATGGGCGGCCATAGGGGAAGAACAGTGATTGGAAACACAGGTGGCAGGCAAGAGCCGGAGGCACTGCCCCTGGCCCTGAATCGGAGAACCGGCCGTCTTTGCCTGTCCCCCTGCTGGTGATCGGAGAAGCCAGAGCGGGCACGGAAGAGGCCGGCACCAGCCTCTTCCCTGGCCGCCCCTGCCAGGGATGAGCAACCGAAGATCCCACAGCAGGAAAGGGGGGCCTGCAGCCAGCCCCCCTGTGCCACTGCCCCTGGGTCGCCTCAGTGATCACGGAGCAGGAAAGGGGGTTCTGCAGCCAGCCCCGTGTGCCCCTGCCCCTGAGTTGCCGCTGTGATCCCCGAGCAGGAAAGGGCGGCCTCTGGCCAGCACCCCTGTGCACCTGCCCATGGGATTGCCCTGGAGATCATGGAGCAGGAAAGGGAAGCCTCTAGCCAGCCCCCATGTGTGCCTGCCTGTGGGATCACAGCGGCGATCACGGAGCAGGAAAGGGGGGCCTGCAGCCATCCCCTGTGTGCACCTGCCTGCCCATGGGATCGCAGATGGGATCCCACAGCAGGATAGGGCAGCCTGCCCCTGGGTTGCCCTGGTGATCCCACAGCAGGAAAGGGGGGCCTGCAGCCAGCCCCTGTGTGCACCTGCCCCTGGGTCGCTGCTGCAATCCCAGAGCAGGAAAGGGCGGCCTGCAGCCAGGCCCTGTGTGTGCCTGTCCCTGGGTCACCATGGTGATCCCACAGCAGGAAAGGGTGGCCTGCAGCCAGCCCCTGTGTGCACCTGCCCCTGGGTCGCTGCTGTGGTCCCAGAGCAGGAAAGGGCGGCCTGCAGCCAGGCCCTGTGTGCGCCTGTCTCTAGGTCGCTCTGGCGATCCCACAGCAGGAAAGGGTGCCCCACCCTGGCCACAGCTCAAGGGAGAGTACAACATGCAGTGGAGGCCAGGAGCCTGAGAGATCAACAGAGAGGGGCGCCTCCCAGGTGTGGCTGGGGGCAGGCCTCCAGCAGACAGACAGACAGACACACACACACACACACACAGGACGCCTGCACCGAGCCTCTGCTGCTAGACTGTGGCCATCAGTAGGACATCTACTGAGGGCTCCCGGACTGAGGGGCTGGCTTGGCTGAGGGAACCCCATCCCCCAGTGCACGAATTTCGTGCACCGGGCCTCTAGTATTTATAATAATAGCTAACACTTAGAGTTACTGTGTGACAGGCAATGTGCTAAGTAATTACTTAATATTTACTCTGCACACCATTCATATAAGACCTGTCAATTATACCTCCATAAAGCCAGAGGAAAAAAATTTCCCATAAGGTATGGCATTACCTCTATGTTCCTGATGTGGAAAACAAGCCTTAAATAACAAGAGTAACTTTTTCAAGGATTATACTTGCAGAGCCCATGCTCCCATCACAATGCTCAGTTACCTGAAAAAACCTTAGAGGTCATCTAGTCCATCTTAATTTAACATATGAGCAAGTTGGAGCCCTGCGAAGGTTGAGTGGCTTGTCCACCACCTTAGAATTGGATGTGTGACAGAAGGTGGGCTCAAAACCAGAGACCCTGTGTTCTACTCCAATGTTCTTTATACCCCAGTGGGCTTCCTCTCTCTTTATGTTTGTGCCATAAATTCCATGTCTTTGTGCCTTAGAGATAAAATAAAACTATAATTTTGTACATTTTACTAACTGTGGGTTGCTGGTACCAAAGGTTGTATTTTCTTTGGTATCAGCAACCCACAGATAAGTAGGTGGGTACCCAGAAACTCTTGTTTGATATTGATTGGTTTTCTTTTCAGCTTCAAGAGATATTCAGGAAAAAAAATGAAAAGAGAGAAACTAAAGGAGATGAAGAAAAGCGTGCAATGCTGGTAAGAATAATTTATAGTAGTTTCAGGGGGGTTTCTAGATAATTACTTATGTTGAAAACAATAAAGTCTATAACTTTGGGGCTGTTCCTTTCTTGAAAACTTTTTAAAGTTCTTATATAGAAAAATTGCTGCAGTATTACATGTATTGATACCAACATTTATATCAAATATTGTTATTACATTTCTGTAGCCATAATTACATTCATTAAATAATTTTATTCATATTGTGGTATTCCATGAGATTCATTAACAAGTTAATATAAATCATTATGCATATACAATTTAAAGGAGAATTGCAAAGATTTCATTACCCATATAGAATTTAATGGTACTATAACAATATGGATGTTGAAGTAAAAACAAGGAAATAATATGTTATTTTGCATTCTTAGAAGTATATATTATAGATTTTTCTTCTGGGATGATGTTTTCATCTTACTCCGAAGGTAGAGTTAAGCAACATTTCACTCCATTTTCCTACCAGTTTTCTTTTTCTTGCCCCAAGTATTTCAACCTGACAACATCCCAGGTCCACATAAAAAAAAATAATAGGTACTGCGTCCTTATTACCAGGCACCATACTAGATGCTTTGCCTGCATTTCTCATTTAATCTACCCAGCAATTCTCTTATAGATGTACTTATAGATGTGGAAACTGATTGTTGAAATGGTTAAATATCTTGTCCAAAATTGTATAGCTACTAGAGGCCCGGTGCACAAAAATTTGTGCACTCAGGGGGGTGGGAGGGGTGGGTCCTTCAGCCCGGCCTGTGCCCTCTCACAGTCTGGGACCCCTCAGGGGATGACCACCTGCTGGCTTAGGCCCGATCCCCAGGGGATTGGCAATCAGACATTCCTCTGGCAGCCCGGCAGCCCTTGGGGGATGTCAACTTGCCAGCGGGGAGCAGGCCTAAACTGCAGTCGGACATTGTAGCACTGCTGAGGAGGCAGGAGAGGCTCCCACCACCACCGCTGTACTGGCGGCCATCAGCCTGGCTTGTGACTGAGCAGAGCTCCTCCCATGTGAGAGCGCCCTGACCACCAGAGGGCAGCTTCTGCATTGAGTGTCTGCCCTCAGTGGTCAGTGTTTGTCATAGTGACCAGTCATTCCCAGTCCTTCTGCTGTTAGGGTCAGTTTGAATATTACCTGTTTACTATATAGGATAGAGGCCTGGTGCATGGGTGGGGGCCAGCTGGCTTGCCCTGAAGGGTGTCCCGGATCAGGGTAGGGGTCCCGCTTGGGTGCTTGGCCAGCCTGGATGAGGGGATGATGGCTGTTTGCATCTGGTCACACCCCCTTCAGGGTGGGGGTCCCCACTGGGGTGCCTGGCCAACCTGGATGATGGGATGATGCTGTTTGCAGGTGGTCATACCCCCTTCCGGGTGGGGGTCCCTACTGGGGTGCCTGGCCAGCCTGGATGATGGGATGATGGCTGTTTGCAGCTGGTCACATCCCCTTCAGGGTGGGAGTCCCCACTGGGGTGCCTGGCCAGTCTGGGTGAGGGGCTGAGGGCTGTTTTCAGGCTGATGGGTGACTGAAGCTCCCAGCCTCTCCTTTTATCTTTTTTCTTTTATTCTGGGATTTATTTACCTTTTATAGCTGTCACTGATGCTGAGAGCCGGCTCCAGTTCTGAGGCCGTTGCCGGCTGAAAGCAGGTATCTGGGTTTGTTTAGATTCAATAATTGAAACTCTGTTGCCATCACTGGACGCTCTAAGCTCTGAGGCCGCGCTGGCTGAAAGCAGGTTTCTGGGGTTTGTTTAGGTTCTATAATTGCAACATTGTTGCATCCGGAGCTCAGAGCCCAGCAGCGGCAGGCGGGGAACCTTGGCTTCCTCCATCACTGGAGCAAGCAAGCCTCCTGTTTACTTCAGCTGCCTGGCTGCCGGCCGCCATCTTGGCTGGCAGTTAATTTGCATATCTCGCTGATTAGCCAATGGGAAGGGTAGCGAAGTTATGGTTAATTACCATGTTTCTCTATTATTAGATAGGATTAAATGACAATTCCAAGATTTGAACCCATGGCTGACCAGCTCTAAAATCTAAACTTTTACCCACTGTAGCATATTTCTTCATCTAGTACTTAGATAGCAGAAACATAGTGAATTTTGTTGGCATGTAAATGGCAATTGTTTCATTTGCAAATTAGTGATTTGCATTGGTCTACCAGGAATTCAAATAATTAACATACATCATTTAATTAGTGCTCCTGAAATCTCATTTACCTAATATAGCTATCAGGCTATTTCTTAAAACAGCCTTACCATTCTATGATAATACAGTGGGGCCTTGACTTACGAGTGTCCCGACTAACGAGTTTTTTGAGATACCAGCTGTCTCTCGGCCGATTTTTTGCATTGAGTTGATAGAGTAATTTGAGTTAACAAGCTCTTTAATGAGCTCGGCGCTCGGCCTCGGAACGAATTAAACTCGTAAGTCAAGGCCCCACTGTATAGCTCTCTACAAATGTTTAATTAGTGGTAACTTATTGTTAATAGCCATCATATTTTAAATAATGCAAATATGAACTGATGAGATTTTTGAGTTTTGAAGCTATTAAAATTCAGTTGAGAGTGAAAATATATGGATTAAATTAGAGAGATAGCATAGCACAGGGTTGGAATATCAGCTCTGTCCTTAATACCTGGGTGACCTTGAATAAGGTCCTTAACATCCCTGTGGCTCAGTTTCTTCATTTTTACAAAGGGGACAAGAGGAGTAATGGTCACATGTGATTCTTATGGGGTTTAAATGAGCTAAAACATGTAGCCACTTAACAGTATGTAAAATAAACACTCAAAAAGGAATTAGTAGAACCATATAGTTACTTAAACCTGAATATTTATATACCCAAATAAAAATTAAATCAAAACCAAATGTAAAAATATTTACATGCCAAATAAGATTAACTATATTTCAAAAGGAGAGAGGAAAATGAACATAACATTCTTGAGACACATTATTTGCTAAGCTCTGTGCTATAGCTGTTACAAATTTTACTTCCATTTAGTTCTCATTATGTGTCTCCCAGATAAGTACCATGCCTGTTTTACAGATGAGAAAACAATCCTAGAGGGATTCATTAACTTGCCTAAGGTCATGGCAATATAAGAGCAGAACAAGATTCCATCACAGGTCTCTCATACCATTTCTACTGCCATGATGCTACATTTAGATCCCCCTGTCGCATATAGAATTACTGAAGCATCCTCTCTAATAAAGAGGTAACATGCAAATTGACCATCACTCCAACACACAAGATGGCCACCCCATGTGGACACAAGATAGCCGCCACAAGATGGCCTGCAGGCGGAGGGCAATTGTGGGCAATCAGGCCAGCAGGGGAAGACAGTTGCGGGGGACCCAGGCCTGCAGGGGAGGTCAGTTGGGAGGGACCAGGCTTGCAGGGGAGCGCCATTGTGGGTGACCAGACCTGCAGGGGAGGGCAATTGGGGGGGGGGGGACCAGGCCAGCAGGGTAGGGCAGTTGGGAGCAACCAGGCCAGAAGGAGAGGGCAGTTGGGGGTGACCAGGCCTGCAGGGGAGGGCAGTTGGGGGTGACTAGGCCTGCAGGGGAGGGCAGATGGGAACGACCAGGCCTGCAGGGGAGGACAGTTGGGGAGGACCAGGCCTACAGGGGAGGGCAGTTGGGGGCAACCAGGCTGGCAGGGGAGGGTAGTTAGGGGGGACCAGGCCTACAGGGGAGAGCCATTGTGGGTGACCAGGCCTGCAGGGGAGGGCAGTTGGGGGCGATTGGGCCGGCAGGGGAGCAGTTAGGCATCAGTGAGGCTGGCAGAGGAGTGGTTAGGGCAGCGGTTCTCAACCTGTGGGTTGCGACCCCTTTGGTGGTCGAACGACCCTTTCACAGGGGTTGCCTAAGACCATCCTGCATATCAGATATTTACATTACGATTCCTAACAGTAGCAACATTACAGTTATGAAGTAGCAACAAAAATAATTTTATGGTTGGGTCACAACATGAGGAACTGTATTTAAAGGGCCAGAAGGTTGAGAACCACTTGGTTAGGGGGTGATCAGCCTGGCAGGTAGAAGTGGTTAGGGGCAATCAGGCAGGCAGGCAAGCAGTTGGGAGTCAGCAGTCCCGGACTATGAGAGGGATCCTAGATTGGAGAGGGTGAAGGCTGGGCTAAAGGACACATACACCACCACCACCACCACCACCACCACCCCCTCCCCCCAGTGCACAAATTTCGTGCACCTGGCCTCTAGTCTATCTAATAATAAGATAATATGCAAATTGGTCGGGACGCCGACACTTAATGACCAATCAGCAGGCTGCGTCCCTGCCCCCTGTGCTGGCCTGGAGACATGAGGCTCACATCCCCGACACTGGCAACAGGCCTGGGATGTGAGGCTCACGTCCTTTCCCATGTGCCGGTCCGGAGATATCAGGCTTGCGTTCCCGACCCTGGCAACAGACCCTGGGACGTGAGGCTCACATCCATGCCCCCTGCACCGGCCCAGGGGTCCACAGGCACGCGGAGGTCCTCAGGCCTCCACCACGCCCATCCCGAGGGCGGGGCCATGGTGGGACCTCTGTGTGCCTGCGCCAGGTGTCCGCAGGCCTCCGATGGCTTTGGCCTACCTCTTTGGGGCAATCCATTGAGGAGCCCCGGATGGGTGGGCAGGGCCTACCTCTTTGGGGCGATAGATCATGGGGCTCCCACACTGCACTGGGCCACTGGTGTCTAAATAAAGTCACATACTTTGGAGGAACAAGTTTTACTCAAAGCAATAGCTCCATCAGAAAGTTACAATTGAAATGATTGAAATGAGCACATTATAAATAATGTTTAATTATATGAGATTTTTTAAACTTTGCTTCTCATCTTTAACATTTATCCCACTTGTGTGTATGCACTGTATATAGAATGTAGCATAATGATTTGCCCTTCCTAATTGATTATTTTGTCATCTTTTTCTTTTTTTCTTTTGCTGTACTTGGGTTCATTCTGAAATGTGACACTTCATTTGGCCCTTTGTGCTCTATGTCAGCGTCTTCAACTGTATGGATACCATTCACCTACTGATAGTGTATGTACAATACTTTAAATATTCTTTATGTGAATATCCCTCCCCTGTTATACTTGATAATGTTATTTTGTTATCTAAAACTATATCTGCTACTGAAATGTTTAGGAATTTATTGAATATGATAAGATGCAACCAAGCCAAAAATTTTTTTATTTCCTTCCTATATTTATGAGAAGACTAAAATTTACAGAGTAATTGTATAACTTTAACTTTAGATTGAAATAAAGAAAAGATGAGTGAACAACAACCAGCAACTCTGGTAAACAATTGAAATTTTAAAATTTTCAGCAGTTTTTGAAGAGTTAAATACAAATTATGGAGCAGATTTTCAGACTATGCTCCTGCAAACACAGGCATTTTAAGAATTAGGTCTACGTACCTGACATACATTATTTTCTCAATTCTAATACAGAGTTTTGTTAATGGATAGACTTTTCTTAGTTTTCAGTATTTCTCCCAATTTTTTTTTCTAAAACCTTTGATACCTGCCTATCACCTATGTTCTATACAAAAGTCTGGTATAAGATGACATTAGATATGTTTAATCTGTCAATGTATCATGTTATTTCTCAAAGAGGATTATGATTTTCAGACTCTTCTTTTCCTGATGAAGTTAGGAGTTCTGTAAATGATCTTCCAATATACTCTTCTTATGCTAAGCTTTCTTCTTTGCTTTCTCCTGGAAAGTTGAGCTTGTTGGTTAGCCCAGCTACTAAACAACTAAGAGTAGGCCATGCCCCTTTTAAATATAAATATGCAGGATTCGCCGAAACCGGTTTGGCTCAGTGGATAGAGCGTCGGCCTGCGGACTGAAAGGTCCCAGGTTCGATTCCGGTCAAGGGCATGTTCCTGGGTTGCGGGCATATCCCCAGTAGGAGATGTGCAGGAGGCAGCTGATCGATGTTTCTCTCTCATCGATGTTTCTAACCCTCTATCTCTCTCCCTTCCTCTCTGTAAAAAATCAATAAAATATATTTTAAAAAAAAGCACATGCAGGGTTCATTTAATTTCCCCAAGGTTAGAAGGATCCCTCAAATTACATAAGTTCCACCTGAGAGTAGGCCTTTGAATTCAGGGTGATGGACTCAGTATAATGCAGGTCAGAGAGTTCAGTTATAGTGTGCAACTCTGTAAGCAGCTGTGCTGCCTCCTGTGTTGGACAATCAAAAGTTCAAGGCACAAAACCTGACTCTGTTCTAGATTTGAACATATGCTGGAGGCCAATTCGGCATAACATAAACCTCTGATACCTTGCCAAAGTCGCAAGGAGTGGACCTAGAATGGGTTGGCGAACAAGCCAAGTCCATGGGACCCTTAGGACGGACTAGTTATTTTGATTCTTTACAAGATACTTAAATTTTTTCTAAAAAATTCATGACTGTTTGTCTTTAAATATGGTCTATCATTTTCTTAAAATTTTGAAAAGATTCCTCTATTAATCATTTCAAAAATTGGTAAGAAAATGAAAGATAAATATAGTTTATAATACCATATGTCTTGTGAAACTTAATAAATGTTAATACTTATGTCTTTATTATTTATTTTTCTAATCTAATATGTCATTGCATGAGCCATTTTCCAACTATGGCAATTTATAGTTTTCCTTTAAATTCATAATAATTTTTTTAATAAAATGCAAGCAAACAAGAAAAATTTATTTAAAATTAGAAAAATTCAGATAGCCTAAAAGTTTATATGAAATATGATTGGTGTATGTATTGCACAAATATATTATTATAATAATATGAATTAACTGGTAATTATCTGCTAGTTTCCGGAGCTGTAGATGAACTGGAATGATCAAGTAGATAATTTGAGTACAGTTCATGGAGCTGAATATAACCTAAGATTCTACCCTTAGAAAGAAGTTCCTCAGTAAAAGCAGAAGCCCTCCTGACTTGACTATAGAGACAGAGATTCTGTGTCCTCTGTTGGACCCTGTCCCAAAACTTAACTGCTCCTGCAGTAGGTTCTACCTGTATTCTGTCAAGTTACTGTTTACTTCGTTTCTTGCTTCGGTATTTAGGAGGATCATTACCTATACCTTTCTGTTCCAAACAACCCTGATTCTTTTCATATTTCTGATATAGCCAACTCTTGATTATCTGACCATTGTAATGAAAAGATATATTTAAAATTCAAAAAAATAAATAATGCAAAAGTGAAGTATATTTGATTTTGGTATGCCTTATGTGACTTTTTAAAGTACTTAAAGATTATCTTAATTACCCTATATCCATTGTAGTAAAAAAATGTACTAGCTTTTATACAATTTTTTGACACATGTTGAGGTGTGTTTTATGAACTAAAACAATGTTAATATTTACAAATGATCTGTGTTTGAAAAAAATGTGTATGTTCTAATTTGGGGTATAGGGTTATATTTTTAAGATAGATAATATATCAAAACATATTAGAACAAACTTATTAATTAAATGTTTTAAATCTGTTATTTCTAATGTTTTTGTCTGCTTAATCTTTCAGTTAGTATGTTAAATTATATGTTACAATGATAGACTTGTCAATTTCTACTTATAATTATGTTATTTTTTATTTTACATACTTTTGAAACATTGTTATTGCCTATTTAAGAATATAAATTACTTATGTCTTTTTAATGAATTGACTCTTCTATAATATACTAGCCCTAGATATCTAGAAATGTTTTTTTCTTAAAATATATTTTATTGTTAAAATAAATATACCACCTTTATTTTTATTAATATTTTGTTATTTTTGTATTTTGTGTTTTTTATTTTCTATTTTTCCCTCTAATGATGATGAAGCTTTTCCTGATTTTCAAAATATATTTTTAGTTCAGAAATTTACTGTAAATAAAATAAATAATAAAAGTTTGACCACAATATAGCTAAAAAATAAACTTGCCATGCCCCCAAAAGCTCCTTCTATTGTCTCTCTAATGATGATTCTTTCCTCTTCTCCAAAAGATAACTACAAAAATGACTTTTATGTAAACCACTTCTTTGTCTTTTCAGTTTTACCACCTACTTATGTATGCATCATAAATCATATAATTTAGTTTTACCCATTTTAGAACTCATATAAATGGGATCATATTATATGAGTTTTTCATGTTTCTTCTTTGACTCAACATCATGATTGTCCATTTCATTTTCATTGTTGTATCTAGGTCTAGTTCATTCACTGTTATTGCTGTAAGCAGCAGTTTTCAAACATTTTGGTCTCAGAACCCCTTTACATTGTTGAAAATTATTGAGGACCCAAAAGAGCTTTTGTTTGTATTGGTTATATCTATCTATATTTACTAGTATTTACCATATTAGAAGTTACAACTGAGAAATTTAAAAATATTTATTATCCTTTTAAAATAAAAACTCACATGTTAACGAACATTTTAATGAAAAATAACTCCAAAAATGTAGTGAGGATAGTGGCATTTTACATTCTTTGCAAATCTATTTAATATCTGGCTTCATAGAAGACAGCTGGTTTCTCATAGATGCTTCTGCAAGTCAAGCTGTTGCAGTATGTTATTTTGGCAGCAAATACTCTCAATTGCTTCCCTTGGAGTGACCGGCTCACTTGGTTCACTTAAAAAAAAAATGTCTGCCAGATACCAAAGTCTAAACAACCATAGTTTGTCTATCAGTCATTCTTTCAAGTAAAAATGATTGTTCATGAAAAAAAGTGGCTACTTTTCTTTGCAACACAAACCGTCACACACATGTTTTTTCTCTGAAGACAATCATATGACTTTAGTAGGCAGGAGAAGTGCTTTACGCATGCTTCCAGGCTCACCACACCAAATATTGAAAAGATGTATGCTCAAAGGTCAGTTTAACAAAATTGTAAGTTTATTCTTCAGCAAGTACATTCTTTTTTTTCTTTCTTTTGAAATTAAAACTTTTTAATTTAAATTCTTTATTGTTTAAAGTATTACATAATTCTCCTTTTCCCCCCATTGACCTCACCCCAGCCACTCCCACCCCCCCACCCCCACCCCCAGCTTATGCCCTCATCCCCGCCCCCCTCCACTCTCAGTGTCCATTGGTTAGGCTTATATGCATGCATACAAGTCCTTTGGTTGATCTCTCCCCCTTATTCCCACCCTCCCCTACCTTCCCTCTGAGGTTTGAGCATCTGATTGATGCTTCTCTGTCTCTGGATCTGTTTTTGTTCATCAGTTTTGTTCATCAGTTTCTCTGACTGACTAATTTCGCTTAGCATAATGCTCTCCAGCTCCATCCATGCTGTTGCAAATGGTAGGAGTTCCTTCCTTTTTAACCACCTTCACCTACTGCCCATTCCTTCCCCACCTCAGGCAACCACTCATCTGTTAAGTTTCTATGATTTCGGGGTGGTTTTTTTCTGATTTTTAATTGAGGTATGATTGACATATAACATATTGGTTTCAGGTATACAACATAATGATTCAATATATGTATATATGCCCTTATTTTGAACGATAATTTTACTAGGTATATTGTTATAGGTTGACACTTATTCTCAGCAAATTATGATAACATTCCAGTCTTCTGATTTCTATTATTGACATTGAAAAGTCAGTTCTAAGTCTAAGTATTACTCTTTTGTAGATAGTCTGTTTTCTTTCTTGCTACTTTTAAGATTTTTTTTTTTGCCTTTGGTGTTCTACAATTCTATAACATCCTTTTTGCTATTACCTGTTACAAAATTTATTGAACCTCTCAAATATGAAGATTGTTTACTTTTATTCTTTAATATTCACTGAACTATCTATCTTTTACCTCTTTTAATAAAGGCATAGACCTACCTTACACTCTGGTAAGGAGGCCTAAAGGTCACAGAGTCATCAGAGACACTAAGACTGAAGAAATTCTTTGCCAGTTTTTCTACTGTTTGCATATCAAAACATTATAATACCTGTTTTATAATCACAGCACACAGTTATATTTGGGCATATTCCCCTATCAGTCTTTCCTTAGCCTGCATGTGTTTGTTCTGATTTTGTTTGCTTTGCATTTCTTGCTATTAAAATCTATTCTAATTGTTATGGCTACCTTAAGTTTATTTTAAATATTCTATTATATTTTTCTGGTATTAAAAATTTCTACTAGTTTTGCATGTTCTGAAAATTTACTCTTAATTACATCATCCAAGCCATTAATTAAATAATAAAATATTGGCTCCTGAACAGACACACATATAGGAATCTATGACTGTGCCAGGAAAACCACTGATATATTAGCCATATTTCCCTGCAGTTGCATGCCATATATTTATTTAACACAAGGCATGACAGTAGTTGCTGTGAGAACATTGTCCCTTCCCTCAGAAACTTTATAATTTAAAAGACTCTTTAATGCAGCCATTCCGTTGTATATTCTAGCAAAATTTAACCTGAAGCTAAATAAAAAGTGGGGAAGCTTTCTGCAGGAGGTGACTATTAAGCTGTTATGTTCTAAATAAGACTTTTATTTTCTTTTAAAAAGTGATATATATATATATTATCTTCGCTCTAACCGGTTTGACTCAGTGGATGGAGCTTTGGCCTGTGAACTGAAGGGTCCCAGGTTCGAGTCCGGTCAAGGGCATGCACCTTGGTTGTGGGCACATCCCCAGTGCGGGGGGTGCAGGAGGCAGCTGATGGATGTTTCTCTCTCATGGATGTTTCTAACTCTCTATCCCTCTCCCTTCCTCTCTAAAAAATGAATAAAATGTATTTTTTAAAAAGTGATATATTATCCTGATAGATGAATACACATTCTTATTTTAAAATATAGCAACGCGAAAAGGAGAAAATAAAAAATATTCTAATGCCACCATTCAGAGGTAATCAGTATATTGGAGTATACTTACCTCTTTTCTATGCGCAGGAAATATGTTTTTTTCGATAGAGATCCATGTCAGTAAAGTTTATAAAATTGATTTCATCCCTTAACAGGTTGTAAATATTTTTCTAATGTCATCAGTGTGTGTGTGTGTGTGTGTGATGTTGACAAGTGTTTGGAAGTAGGGAAGAGGCTTCACAAAGCAAGTCATTCCTGTAACCCTCCTAAGAATAATATAGTAAGTCTTATTTTCTAGCTTGATAGATTTAATCATCCTTTTCTTTATCATATATTAACCTTCTAAGTTACAATTTAAAAGTATATCCATGTTCAAAATGTTTAGATAATATTTGCACACTATTTAATCTGGCTACCATTTATTGAGGTTCTACCATACCTATATAAAAGAAAGTGAACTGTGTTAGTTCTATATTCAGCTCATTTTACTTATTTAGCTTATAATTTTAGTTAAAGCTTGTTTAGTTACTAAAGGGGGTGATGAGCAAAATGTCATATGGCTAAACTTACACTTATGGTAATAAATATGTCCATGTTATATACGTGACTCCTGCTGAATAATACTGTACTATTAACATGTTTAAAGATTTTATTCAAATACGGGCAATAGGCAGTGCTTTCAAGTTAATAATGAATTGAAACTTGGATCTTTGAAATAATTCTCAGATGCGTTATAATTTTATTAGCGGCATCAGACTTTTAAAAATTAACACACACACACACACACACACATAAATAAAAGTGCTCTTGTCATCAGCTGCTACTCCTAAGTGTACCGTGCTGCATTTTCTTCCCACGATAATCAAAGAATCCCAAGCCCAAGAACCTGGGAAGCCTTCCCTGGTAAATCTGGACAGAAACTTACATTTAATTACTTTTGAGTCTTTATAAACTCTTACGCTTGTAGTTCTGCATTTTCATATGAAGATTAGACTACACTTCTTAGTCTAGATATCCTCTTCTTCAAACTAGCCAATACTGAGGTAGAAGCTAGTGTTCTCTCCTTATGGTAAATAGCAAGTATCATAGATATATGTAGTATATATCGACAGACACACCTATCAAATCCCTGAAGAGCTTTGAGTAAACTGGCTTATTTCTTTTTGACAAATTTCAGATTAGTTTAAATTTTGTTTCTCTAAAGTGTGGATACGGTCATTTTGATTCTTTGATGCACTAACACAATGTATGCCAGCCAATAATAATTCATTTTTAAATTAATCATGGTTTTTATTGGTTGCTACAAAATTCCCCAGATCTTCTACAAATGAATTGACTTCACATCAGGCATGAATAAAATTTTTATTTCACACTTTCTTAGAAGTTACACATGTTTCAGTAGAAGGGCTTGGGGGAGGGGTGAAGAATATGATTCTTTTTGACAAAGCCACATTGTACTTAGAAAGAGTGGTTATATACCATTACACCTTTGAAAATACCCAGGGTTTACCGGCAATGTAATATAATACTGTTGTGTGCAGCAGAAAACAAAAGAAGGTAAGCTAATGTGTTTTCTTTTCAAGGTTGGGTGAAAAGATTTAAAGTGTATAAATTGTCATTCTTTGTGACTACCTTTTAGATTTCAGTTGTGCTTCTTAAAACTTCTACAGGTACTTAAACCAGATGCTGAGGAACTTGTCTCCAGAAGCTACTGGGATACATTGAGACGTAATACAAGCCAAGCACTGTTTTCAGACCTCGCAGAGGTATAATTAAACCTCGACCAGGTCGTTGTATTATTTGCCATTTTGTTAATCTCGGCCTTGTTTTATTTTAGAGTCATAATGATGGAGCCAAAGATATATTTTATCTTTTTCCTTTCCTCCAATAAAGCAGTAATTTCTATGTGTAAGTGGTGTATTTGAGTATGTCAGCTATGCTGGCAGAGACTGCAAGATCACCTATATCTATGTTAAATCAACTTGCTTGTTGTAGAAAACATGACTTTCCAACTTAATTAAAAGGAAGTATTGTTATTTTTAACTTGAGAAAATTTGAAAATGCTATTTCATAGTTTCACAGATTCTTCTAACCTTATAACTTGAAATATTTCATGAAATGATGAAACTTAACTTTGGTAAAAGATAGCTAATTGCTAGAGTTAGATTTAAACAATTAAGTTTCCTAATATCAATAGAGAGTAGCTTAGTGTGGAGCAGGTGTGGTAGGAGCAGTCAAGGAAGGGAGAACATTTCCTCTTGACATTGTTTAGTGCGTGGAAAATAAAAAGCACACCAACTGTTATTCATGCTGGTTTTGAATTTTATTGAGACACAAACCTTATTGCTGCACTCAGACTGCTCCAGCACCCCGCTCTGATTATGCTGCTGTTCATAGGGATTTGTCATTTTAAAAGATGGGCTGTGTCTTGTGGATTAAACACTAATTTATGTTTTTTAAATAATCTTTTTCTTGTTGACTTGAGAGACAGAAACATCAGTTTGTTGTCCCACTTATTTATGCATTTATTGGTTCATACATGTTTGTGCCCTGATCAGTGATTAAACCTACAACCTTGGTTCGATCAGTACGTTGCTCTAACCAACTGAGCTACCTGGCCAGGAGTTATTTTATGGTTTCTATTGAGATTTTTTAAAGAACTTTAGAGATGGCTATCATCTTACAACAAAGGACTTTTTAGTAAATACTAACAGATATATCTCTCATTAGCTTTTTCTTTGTAAAGTTGATTTCTCATTTCTTTTTCTAAAGTTTGACTTTTAAAAGTTACACGTAAAAATATCTAGAGAAGTAAACTGGATTAGGTGTAATTTCTGTCATTTATATATACAGTGTTACTCAAATGATACCTTTAGATTAGGGCAAACACTTAGAAATGTTCGTTTTTTGTCAGTTATGTTCAATTTTAAAGTCCCAAAAGAAATAAAGCTTTCCCCCTATCTCTAAACTGTGTTTGATATATCAATATGGTATAATTATGGTGAGCAATTACTCTTTTAAATTACCTTTTAAATTCGAACTATTTTTAAGCATGAAGTGGTAATAGATGTTCCACTTATAGATAATTTAGAGGTACTTAGTTCTAATCATCTGTGCAGACACACATTGGAAGTGCTTAATTCTGTGATCATTTGTGCAGGCACAAAGCGAAGGCACTACTGTGAGCCTTTACTTTCCAGAGCCTAAAAGTAAGAGCCACTTGGGACACCAGCCCTTTGAGCCTCTATGAGCTACTGTGGCCTCGCTTCTAGTCAAGTCTAGTCAAGTCACTGTTGTCCCTCCCCGTTCTAGTCTGACCACCTCTCAGCCTCCAGCCTATCTTTAATCTCATTTAACTCTTTTAGAAAATCTCAATTCAACACAATCTGTGCATTAGATGTTTAATTTAATTTATATCCTGGAGGTTTAGTATCAGAAGACCAGGAAACTCTTACGTACACTCAAAGATTGTGATTATAGGTTCTTTTGAAGGTGTTTATCACTCTGGCAGAGGTGTGCTGGAGCTGGTTTTTTGGCTTCTCACAGCTAGTTCTGCACAGCTCTTCCTAACTCATCATCCTGTTAAATCTCATTGGTACCTTGAAAATGCCCATGATGGGAGTATTAATACCATAGAAATGGGCAAACACCACCCATTGGGCTTTTTGTCCAGGAGCACCAGTTTACTAGCACACTGTTGGTTGTAGCCAATCCACACTATAATCAGCTTATGCTAAATTAATGAATGAATTTATTCAAGCATCATGAAAGTAAATCTTATGGAGAAGAGAAAGTAGAAACAAAAACAAAACAAGCTATATTCCAAAGGAAAATAATTATTTGGGGATTGTCTGTTACCACCTTCCCACATTAGAGAGGATAACAGAATTAACTATGTTAAGTTACAACTCATTCTAATTACTTATAGGTTACTACTGATGCTGGTGTAACACTGACTTGTTTATAATATCAGTATTTCAGGATTCAAATTGTTTCAGAAAGAAAGCTTAGAAATCTATTTTTATTTCTTTGTTTCTTGTATATTTAAAATGTAAATCTTCAGATAAGCATTTTTCTTCAAATATTGTAGGTAAATTTGAGATTAGCCTTTCATATTCTTATGCCAGAGCTGTTTCTAACAATAGATGATTTTCAATTATAGTAAAACCATATTATAATGAATTTAATATGCCACAGCTAACACTACTTTCTAACCAAAATAATAGATAATACATTTACGTAAGCCTCTCAAACAACTGTTGAGTACAGTTTGAATATCAAATTATAAAAACTATTTTGAGTTTTATAGATGAAATTAAAAATTTTTTGTTTGCTTTAAACTTTACTCGTCCTTACTAAATTTCAGTAGGTTATTCAGAACCTCTGCCAACAATCCCTCCAGCCCTGGGATAAAGCTTGATAAGATTATCACATTGGAATCAGTAAAAATATGTTGAAATGATATCCTTAAAACTCTTTATTTTAATAGTTGGATATTTTTATTTCATGCAAATTTACTAATTTATTTCATTTTTTATGAAACCATTTAAAGTAAGTTTTCATCAAAACAAAGTTAGATAATGGCCTTTCATGTAAATGACCCCTGGGTTTCTTTTGTGGCAGTTTCTTGCTTTCTTATGAAAACACCTGAATTCATTTTAGTTTAACAATGAGCACAAGAATCAAAGGGATGAAGTCTCTATTTTTGTCCCAGCCCTCCTGTGATGCAAGTTATATAACATTGTTAGGATACCAAGGACTCTGGTGTAGTTTTCGGTGACTCCCAACAGTACTCCGTTTCATTGAAGGGGGGCAGTTTTCACCATCCCCATTTTCTAATTTTTCTCTCTAATGTCAAACTTTTACTTATGCCTCTGTGGCTCTGGATTATCTGGATAAGTGCAACCTAAGTCTAATAAGATTTTCATGATGAAAGACTGTAAATGAAGATCCGCTGTGCTCTGTGGGCATGAGAAAAACTGGCTGAATGAGGTCATTATTTAAACCTGTGTAAAACAAAGCCATCTTATTCCCGTGTGTTAGGTCTCGAGGTAAAGGACAGCACAGCACTACAGAAAGCATTCCATAATGTGTTATCTGAGTTCACTAACTTTGGGTCTTTCTGTAACCTCTCATTTTAAGGCATCTTTTTTTCAGATCTATATAATATTATATGTGTAGTTTCAATAACAAGTTAAAGTGTACCACGTAAAAATCTTTTTTTTTTACATTAAGCTTCAACATTATTATCTTTTCTATCTAAACTTCTTAAAATACATGGATTTGGCTAAAATAATAATAGCTAACACTTATTGGGCCTTTACAATATGCCAGTTAAAGTGCTAAATGATTTACATGTGTTATCTAATGCAATAATCCTTTATAGTAGACTGGAGGCTCAGTGCACAAAATCCATGCACTGATAGGGTCCCTAGCGGCTGCCGGCCAGGGCCTCCCTCCCTTCCCCCAGCTACCCCCTGGTCGAACTCCCAGACGAACTCCCGGTCGAGGGGACAATTTGCATACTACGCTTTTATCATATAGGATACTTTGTTATTCCTGAGGATAATATCCTCAGAGAGACTGACTTCACCATAGTCACTTAAACTAATGAAAAAAGTCAGGACTCAAAGCCAGACTCTGACTCCTACGCTTCATCGTATTTGCTCACCACACTACTGCTTATTTTTGAAGTAAACAGCTTTCTAAAACACCAACCCTCCTCCTCTGACCTATTTTGTCCTTCCACGTTCCGTTCTTTTAGCTGCTAGATGGCTAGCCCAGTTCTTCATGCTGACTTCTGATTGGCTAGGTCCTTCACTCTTATGCTCCTTTTAGGCATGCCTTCTCAAATATTTCCTTCTCCTACTAATTTAAGCTGTTCTATGGGTAATAAACTGATTAGACTTGATTGTATACTATCACAAAAAATGTCTATAATAAACATGAGATATCTCTCCTGCCACTCCCCTCAAGGTCTTATGCTTTTTCTCAAAGCATCTTACGGCTGCCAATCAGAATCTTTGTATATTTCTTTTAAACACATATTCTAATTTTATCCTCAGAATTGTTATTATAGATAGGGTTGTTCCCATTTCACAGAAAAGGTAGTTGAAAGTCAGAAAGTCAGTGAACCCAGGTCATCTGATTTTAAATCCTGCCGTTTCCATTCCAGCAGTCTGCATTCTCAACCTACAGCTACTGGTGAAGTAGTAGTCCCTTTTGAGCAGTACTCAAAATTACACTAATCTGTCATATATGGAGCCCTGAAAAGCTGGCGGCACTAATCCTATATAATAAAGAGGTAATATGCAAATTAACCGCCACACCCTCACAAAGATGGCTGCCTACGACCAGGACAGCAGGGGGTTAGTGAGGGACGACCAGACAACTGAACAGCAGGCTGCGTGGGGCGACCAGGCCGGCAGGAGGGCCATGAGGGGCAACCAGGCTGGCAGGGGGGGAGCAGCTGGGGGCACCCAGGTCAGCAGGGGGTGTAGTTGGGGGCAACCAGGCAGGCAGGCAGGTGAGCGATTAGGAGCCAGTGGTCCAGGATTGTGAAAGGGATGTTCAGGATCAGGCCTAAACCAGCAGTTGGACATCCCCCAAGGGGTCTTGGATTGGAGAGGGTGCAGGCTGGGCTGAGGGGACCCCCCCCCCCCCCCGCTTGAATTTCGTGCGCACCAGGCCTCTAGTATGGTATATTTAAAAGGTGGTATATGACACCTGTTTTTCGGGCTGTGTTATTTTCCCTCTAGCAATCAGATCTTCAGAGAGGTTGGTTGTACTGTAGGGAGCTTCTTGATTATTCCAACTCCTGAGAATACTTGGGACTACTTCTCAGCAAACTAAGCTGAGAAATAGTAGAGATCTTCTATACCAATTAATAAGGAGTTATATGCTAGAGATCATTTTGAAAAATTCAAACTAAATTACTTACATACAAATAGATTAGATTACTGAGAATGTCAACAATTTTAGATCATATAAAGCTGAAGATATCCTACATGTCGGAGTTTCTAGAGAGAGAGGAGTGATCAGTGTAGCAGAGAAGCCACTTTAGAAAAGGTGTCATGGATTCAGAGTGGGCATGCTGGGGGGAAGAGTATGACCCATACTGGTCATTAGAAAAGAAGAATATTTGGTTTAGGGAGAAATGAAATAAAGATCTTATACTAGTAAATGTTATGTAGGATAAAATAGCTATCTTCATGAAAGAGGGCTATAAAGAATCAAAGAATTACCAAAATTTAGAGTGTGGAAGAGGAGAAAAGGACTGATCCTTTGTAAAAGAGTATATGCTTTCTGTTTCCTATGTGTGTGTTTTTTATGGAGTACTTATTGTCAGGGTTCTGGCCAAGAAGTAATACATTTCAAATATGTCCCTTTTAATAGAGAAAATGGTAGTTATTATATAACTCTTAATTTGCAGTATAATATATGGGAAAGGTACAGTTATGTGAAATTTATCATTTTTTACCTGAATTTCTAAGATAGGTATGAGTTAATGGCCAAATGAGGAAGGGAAGAAAAAGAAAGGACTGGAACAGAAGTGGAAGGGGGGAGGAAAGGAGGAATGGTGGGAGGGAAGCAGGGAAAAGAAAGGAAAAACCTATAAAGCTACATAAAAGGAAATAATGAAGATTTTCCACAAGCCATTGAACTTTATAAGGACTATAATTAAGCTATTTTAAGAATACACTTGTTGGAACTTGGTTTATCAAGTTGAATGGGAAAGGAAATACCCTCTGGAATTTTTCAAAAAATGTAAGACTTTTCTTTTAAAAAAACTGTAGATGTTGTAAATTTAAAAGTATTACTACTGTAGTTTCTATTTCAAATTATAGTATCTTCTACCTAAATTACCATAAATATGGAATACAGTAAAGTATTATAGTCTAAGTTCTTTTGTAAAGCTTAAGACCATGTCTTTGTCAGCCCCATGTGTTCTATACATCTGAAGACTGTATCTATTTTGAACATCCTTAAAAAAAGGATTTTCATGTTGATTAAGAAAATTCCACTATAAATTACTTAAGTACAAATAAAATATTTAAGTGATTACTAAAAGAGTTCAACTATTTTAAATAATTTAAAATGTAGGTACCTTTTTTGAATAATTTGAGGTAGGAAACTTCCTAAAATATATAATCATATCTTTAAAAATTTTTTAGGATAAAGATAGGTTTTGTTCATATTTCTATTTTCTAATTTTGAACTTCATTTTAACTGTAGTGGCATTTATTAATACAGTCTTACACTTTTCATTCTAATGTTAATATATTTATATCCTGAATATTTATATGTTGATAAAATTCTTTGAGAGATATTGGGTATCTTCTGTTTGCTCATTACAGCTAACCTTTAAATTGTGATTTTTTTTTTAAGCGTGCTGATGACATTATGAGTTTGGTAACAGATACCACACTTCTTGTACACTTTTTTGGAAAGAAAGGAAAAGCTGAGCTCAACTTTGAAGATTTTTATAGGTGAGCTTAATTTTTATATTTGTGTTGAAAAACAATGTTAACATGCTAAAGTCAGAAACACCTAGTGCAGTGATACCTTTTCTCTGCTTTCATCTTAACTTGAGGTACTATGTCTAACAAATATCCACTTCTGTGAGTACCTTTATACCAGTGGTTTTATTGATAAGAATAATAGGAAATTACTGAATAATAAAAAAATGTGTGGATATCTGGATTGTTATTTCCTATACATTCAGAAGTACTGCAGTCAACACTACACATCACACATTAACTCCTTTAAGTCTCATCACTACCCTGCAAGGTTTTTTGTTATCCCCATTTTACTGATGCGGAAGCCAAAGCCCTGAGAGGCTGAGTGCCATCTGTTACCATCAGCACTCTTCATTTATCTTATCCATTCTTTATCCATTCTTGTCATAGATTCATGGATAACCTCCAAACAGAAGTTTTAGAAATAGAATTCCTTTCCTACTCTAATGGAATGAATACCATCAGTGAAGAAGATTTTGCTCATATTCTTTTACGATATACAAATGTGGAAAATACATCCGTATTTTTGGAAAATGTGCGTTACAGTATAGCTGAAGAAAAGGTATCTAATACCCTATTTTTACTTTATTACATGTGCTATTATCTTGTAATTATGTAAGTCTATAAATATATTGTTCTTTGTTAGTTCTTTTGCTCTGTGAATTAATAGATACTTTGGATATTCTTTTCCTATGTGTCCTAAGTTTTCTGGCTAAATTTTAAAAATGGCTTAATTTAAAATTCTGGGTAGGTATTCATATTTTTCTTAGATATGCTAAAAACCCATAAGGTTGTTAACAATTATTTTATTCAAATTATGAATATCATTTTTCAAGAGAATTCTGCTGAACTACAGGCTGTGACTACTATATAAACATCACCTCATACAAAGCAGTTTATATTGACATCAGTCACACCTGATTCATTTCTATAACATCCTTAGTAAAAGGTCATTTGAAGATGGCCATTGGTGAGTGAATGATCTTATCAGCAGTTGAAGTGAGGTTTTTCAAAGAGTTTGGATGGCATGAATGGTTAAGGACCTGGAACAACTGATTGTCTATTTGTTTAGTAGCAAGTGTTTTGTCAGCAATTCTGTGCAGTTGTGCATTATCTAGTGGTATTTGAATGCATCGTTGCAACCAAATAGAACTGGTGTTACAAGCACCCCGTCAAGCATGGGATGTTTTGGATATATTGCCTTCTATTTGTGTTTGTAGAAGGATCAAGGTAATCTATCCAAGAAAGACTTGCAAATAGTTTGACTTTGTATAAAATGGATACCTGGTGACAGTGCTAACAATTCTCCAGGAGAAAAAAGGACTCGATGTATTTGGCCATTAGTTTTACATAATCTCTCAGTTAGGGGTCTTTTATCAGTTTTACATGTTAAACTGATTTTTTTTTTTATTCATAGGCACTTCCCTAAAAATAAATATTGAAATTGTATTATGTCAAATTACTAGGGTATTTTTAGGGTCTTAAAGAATCCTACAGTGCTGAGGAAGGTAAGGGAAACCTGATCCCGTGTTGGGCCCCTTCACATTGCTGCTGACCAGTAAATGGTATCTTTGAGAGAAAAAAAGAGAGAAAAAAAAGAAAAACAGTAAATCTCTCCAATGATATCCCAAATTTGATGATCAAACCCTTTGAGAGTGCTAGGCAGTTAACTCTAATATGATGAAAACTTCTGCAATGGGGGGAAAGATCCTAGGGTGTCAGAACCTGAAAGCATCTTAAAGCAATCACCTATTCAATCCCATCCTTGTACAATCAAGAAAACTACGGCTCAAACTGGTGAGGGCACTTGCTAGTTGGGGAGGAATTAACAGCAGAGACGTTATGATTTCCCAGTCTAGTGACTTAAGGACCTGCTTTAACAATCACTGCACCAGGCCTCTAGTAATGTATATATTGATACACATTATATGGTGTCCCCAGATTCCTTAGGCTCTGTGCATTTTTCTTCATGCTTTTTTCTTTCTGCTCTTCAGATTGAATAATTTCAATTGTCCTGTCTTTAAGTTCATTGTCTCTTTCTTCTACTCACTCAAATCTACTTTTGAACCTCTAGTGAGTTTTTCATTTCTGTTACTATACTTTTCAGCTCCAGAATTTTTTTTTTTTTTTGGTTTCTTGTTTTACAATTTCTGTTTAATTATTTTGTTAATACATAGTTTTCCTGATTTCCTTTAGTTCTTTGTTCATGGTTTCCTTTAGCTCTTTTGAGCATATTTAAGACAATTTGTTCAAAGTCTTTTTGTTTTTAGTCCAGTGTCTGAGCTTCCTCAGGGATGGTTTCTGTTGACATATTTTTTCTGTTTCTTTATACTCATTGTAATTTTTGCTAAAAACTAAACATTTGAATATTATAACGTAGTAACTCTGGAAATCAGATTCTCTGCCACAGTTCATTTGTATTCTTTGTCATGTACAGTTGCTAATGATTATGTTCCATTATCTTAGTGGTTAGCCAGAGGACTGATAGAAATTTTCTTAAATGCCCAGAGCCAGGAAGAAAATAGATAGTATTCTCCCTGAAAGTATTGACATTTATATTTACAATTTGCTTAAAATATCCCATCCTCCTGTTTTTCACTTTTACTAGCAATTAACATGTCACCCTGAGACAGAGACTATTGCTGTGGCACTGGTCGCAGCATTCACTGATTCAGAGCCCGAGCAGTGACCAGTTTCCCTGGCAACAAGCTCTCCACAGCAGGACAATCCCCTTCTGGCTCCATCTCCCTAATTGATTCGAATGGTCCTCTCTGGAAAACATGACAGGTGGGATTGGGTCACAAAGCAGAATTCAGGTTTGGAACAGCCGGCCCTGAATGTAAGAAAAGAGAAAGAGAAAAATGTGAAAAGACAGTGAGGATTCTCCTTGCAAATAAAGAGGGATTATAATTAAAGTGGGAATAATGTATATAAAACTTTGATAAGAAACATAATAAATATTATTTTGATAATAAACCACTTAATCAGTAGTTGGCTTGCATGAAAATAGGCTCTTCTGGTTTTTTCTCTAGCTTTCCCGTGCAGCCTTCTTAGTGTGCCTCCCCTACATTCAGGTCAGAATTGGTTAAGCCTAAGCTCTGGGCCTCGCTCTTTTCAGCTTACTTTTTCTTTCAATCACATTAATTTACTGAGTAGAACACTTAATTAAATGCAGCTCTTGATGCCCAAATTTGTATTATCTGAAACATGTGGTACTTATTTTAAATAACTTCCCTATGTAATTCAAGTAATAGTAGTGGCAATAATTGTAGCGTATGTAAATGACATTCCAGAGTCCTGTCCATGATCACACACCAAGCCCTGCATCAGGCCTCCCTGAGCTGTACGTACAGTCACTATGCTTCCTCCTGCTGTGCTGGCCATGCTCTCGCAGCAGGAGCAAGTAAAAATACACTACTGTTGGCTTATTTTCATTTTTCATTGTCATTATAAAGATATTGATGATCATCATACAATGTTAAATTATATTTAATGAGTATATGTACAGTGGAAATTTTTTTTAGGTGTCTTTTTAAAACTATTCTTTTTTCCTTCATCATCATATTTACTTTCAGGGTTTAAAAAATTCAGGCCTGCTATGCAGAGTTTTTGAAATTGAAGCTTTTCTATCCATTTTCATTGTAGCAATTTTTTGGAACTTTGTGCTGATATGAGAGTATTTTTAAAATATTTTCACCTAACATTGCTAGTGATAGCAACACTGCCAAGTTAAAAAAAAAAAATCTGAGTGAATTTTACATTCTATCTGGAGAAAGGTTTCAGAATGTGCCCTAGAAATGTTGACTTGCAAGTTATATTGCACATGCTTAGTCTATTTCTTTCTAGTAAGTGTAGGTATTTATTTTAATAAATTTGGCCACACTAAAATCTATTTACATATATTTTCTCAATATAGGGCATCACATTTGATGAATTCAGGTCATTTTTCCAGTTTTTGAACAACCTAGAAGATTTTGCAATAGCCTTGAATATGTATAACTTTGCAAGTCGTTCTATAGGGCAAGGTAAGTAATAATCTTTCAAAAATTAAAAGCAAAAAATAACCCTACATTGTTTCTAGGGACTTGACAGCAAATTAATTAGATATAATAGCATATTAGCCATCAGTTGCCTGAAAGTTTGTTGTGTTCTTCAATGGGAAATCTGTTTTCCCTAAGCAGAGTTTAGGGAAATAGGCTAAATATTTGTATAACAATATGCAATATGCAGATGATGTATTATAGAATTATACACCTAAAATCTATATAATTTTATTAACCAGTGTCACCCCAGTAAGTTTAATAAATAAACAAAAATGTTATTGCCCTTCATTTCTTACTATGGGGGGAAGCTAATGATGTTTGTAAAAGTTCAAAGAGAAAAGCACCTCATGCCTGCTTGGTAACATTGAAGGATGTGTGTCTACTTATAGAAGAGCCAACTAGTCATGCCTCAGACATCATCACAGGATGATGCATGTTACCCACAATCCCTGTGGCTCAGAAACCTGAATTTTGTCAACAAAGGCCCCCTCTTAGCTATGGACTCACAGTAACCATGTTTTAAGAATGGTATGTAAAATTGAATGTCAATTTTGCTTAATTTTACAAAGAAATACAACTGTCATAGAATCCAGTGCTGTTGACCTCAGAACCAGCTCTTTCTTTCCCTGTAGGTAGACCAACAAGACAAGTCCTTTTCTAGAATTCTATGGCCATAACTACTCTTTCTTCCCTCATGGCAATATCCTTTTTAAATATTCTTGCCATACAAGGACTTTCTGATTTGACCTGTGTCTGCCATAATCCATTTTCCAAATGTAACCTAAGGGGACAGAACTTTGTTTTATTGCCAAGCTCCCGGGAGAGGCCAAACTGCAGCCCGTGAGCACTAATAATGATTCTCTCTCCCAAAGCGTGGAGACTGAGTCCCTCATGTGGCTCCACTCATTTATTCACTGAGGGAGAGAAACCTGAGAATTTGTCATTTTACCTTTGGTTTATTCTAGATGTTCAAATAGGGCATCTTCTCAATTCAACCCATTTCCGTGAAGGAACCCAGCCATTCCAGACTAGCGTTTACTACCATGATAAAACGACTAATCAACCACAAGAGAAAAAAAAAGTCTGGTTCAGAATGGACAGTTACGGTTTCATTTTGTGGAACTGGGAAATGGAAAAAATCGATTGTGTACTTTTGCAGGTGCTAGGAATATATCTATCTCTTTATTTTCTGTTGTCACTGCTAGCACCTTAATTCAGGTTATTATTACCTCTTAAAAGGATCTGGTATTCCTGCCAATACCCACATCCCTCTCCAATATTTCCTAGACAACTCAGAGAATAATCTTTCAAAAACACTGATTAGCCTTTCTACATGCCTGCTATGGCTAAAAATCCACTTTAGTTCCCCAGCTGCCTGTTGAAGAATATACAGGTTCCTCATCTCAAAGTCCCTGTACAGAGCTTCTCCAGCTCTTATATGTCCAGACTGCTCCTTGTTTTCTGAACGTGTTTTATACCCTCCTGAACCCTCCATGCCTTTGTGCATGTCATCTCATCTGTCATTTCTCATCTCTACAAGCTGAAATCTTCTATCCTTGGGCCTCAGCTCGGATACAGAATTGCAGCTTTTTCTAATCACTGCTCTTCTCTCTCCTTTCCCTACTCCACGCTACAGACAGAAGTAATCACTCATTTCCAAATTCTCATAGTGCTTTGTTGGTACTTTGTGTGGTCCTGTGTATGGTTATTTGGGCAGATGTCTCATCTCCTATTGGAACTGTAAGAGAACTAAAGTATCTGTCACTGATAGTAGGTGCTCATTAAACATTCATTGAATATGAATGTATATTAAACTAAAATACAGTTATTCTTGGCCCTTTAAATTAAAACTACGAAAGCTGGATTAAAAAAGACGTGGTACTTTTACACCATGGAATGCTATGCAGCTGTAAAAAAGAAGGCTCTCTTACCCTTTGAGACAGCATGGAGGGACCTGGAGAGTATTATGCTAAGCAAAATAAGCCAGTCAGAGGAAGACTAGTATCACCTGATCTCACTCATACATGGAATCTAATGAATAAAATAAAATGATGAACAGAATAGATCCAGAGACACAGAAGCATGGAACAGACTGACGAATCTCAGAGGAAAGGTGGGGGTGGGGGTGGGTGGGAAGAGATTAACCAAAGAATTTACATGCATGTATGCATAACCCATGGACACAGACAATAGTGTGGTGAAGGCCTATGCAGTGGGGAAAATGGTGGGGAGGGGGTCAATGGGGTGGGGACATCTAATACTTTCAATAATAAATAAATTTTAAAAACTACAAAAAGTTTTTGTCTCCTAAAAGATAGCATGATTAATGAAAAGTCATGTTACATAAGATCATGACCCATGTGTTTAGAAAAAAAAATGTATTTTATAACCTTTTTAGTAATTAATACATATTATAAAAATAATAATGGCTTACTCCTTTTCTGTAACATTTATCTAGATGAATTTAAGCGTGCCGTCTATGTGGCTACTGGTCTCAAGCTTTCACCACATTTAGTGAACACAGTCTTCAAGATTTTTGATGTTGACAAAGATGATCAATTAAGTTATAAAGAATTTATTGGAATTATGAAAGACAGACTCCATAGAGGATTCCGGGTAAACCTATATATTTCTACCCTATTGATATTATTTTTTTTAACTGAAAGGGAAAAATCCACCTAAGTTTTAGAAACAATTTATATACATTTTTCATAAAATCTTATACTTGAAAAGAAAAATATAAGGCCCTACCTACTTTCAGAAACAATTTGAAGTGATAAAAGACAATGCTTTTTTAAATATGAAATCAGTTTGAATATTAATAACTTAATTTCATAATCAAGTAGTTCAATGTCTTTGTCCCAATTTGTGGGGGCAAAAGTTGCCAAATATTTTTATTAATTAATCTGCACACTTGCTATCAAACTTGTTAGTATACAAAGGAATACCACTATTTCTCATTTTACATGATGCAGATTTCCACTAGGCAACTGAGATGCTTAAGTCACCGTATATTCAGCACTTTTCATATAGAAAATAAAGTAAAAACATTTTTTGTCTGTTGATTCTTCCTATTAACAACTTACACTGTAAAGTAATATGAAAAATTCAGAGATTTTTATTCTCAAGTATGTTTTAAAGAATGAAATATAGCATGATCAATAAATGTTTCGATATGTAGCATATTTGTAGGTGGTGCCAAAAATGGGAAAAGAAAAAATATTTCTATTAACAGCTAGACTATGCAGTTATCCCTCTTCGGTAGGAATACCCCTAAGTATTATACATTTAAAAAGAGAAAAAGCTATATATGCAATAAAATCAAGATTCATCATAGACAATGTTTTTAAACATTTTTAATGATTTTTTAAAATCCAAGCTGTTTTGGTAACGATACTGTGTACTTAGCTGCCACCTAGCGGCCAATCATTAACATTTGAAATTATGGCACAAGTACCTAAAAGGGCATGTATTGAAAATTATTTATTTATTTATTTATTTATTTTTAAATATTTATTTTATTGATTTTTTACAGAGAGGAAGGGAGAAGGATAGAGAGTTAGAAACATCGATGAGAGGGAAACATCCATCAGCTGCCTCCTGCACACTCCCTACTAGGGATGTGCCCGCCCTCAAGGAACATGCCCTTGACCGGAATCGAACCTGGGACCTTTCAGTCCACAGGCCAACGCTCTATCCACTGAGCCAAACCGGTTAGGGCTGAAAATTATTTATTCTTCCTCAGAAATTTTAGAGTAGCGATATCAAAGTATAAACTATGCTATAAACCTCTGATGCTGCATTTTTCTCTTAGATGTTGTGTGTTTTATTTTTTGCTTTATTTATTGCATATTTGTGGCCCCGTAACATTTCATTGACTTTTACATTTTTTAATCCTCTGTTCCACAGGGTTATAAAACAGTTCAGAAGTATCCCACTTTCAAATCCTGTCTGAAGAAAGAACTGCATAGCAGATAAGTATGTTAGCTTTTCTGTCTAAATTGTTCAATAACAATAAAGGAAGGGCCATGATTTATTTTTCTGCTGTGACATTTAGGAAATAACTAAGAGAAATACATTTTATTTTTAATTTTTAGGTCACTAATTCACACTAAGAATTACTCTGTTAATGATTTTATTTTAGTAACTTTATTTTATTTAGTAATTCAGTTGATTAATTAATCATTATAACAAAGAACTACTTTGCCTCTATTAAGGTGTGAAATAAGCTGGATTTAAATACTCATCCAATTGCTATTCTCTTGAAATGTCTTGATTGAAAATGATTCTGTTTAACCTGCAACTTTGTATCTGAGTAGACATAAAATAATAACTTCGTATTTGACTATTATAATGTAGAATCATTAACATCTAAGGAATATTTTTTACTATTTTTTAGGATCATGATTCCCAATGTCTGCTACAATAATAGAAGCTAATCTTTGTAGAGTTATTTTAGATGCTTGGCACTATATTAGGTATTCTTCCACCTGTAGACTCTCATTTAATCCTCACAGATATCCCGTTTAACAGCCGAGAAAATAGAAGCTTAATGAGTCATTTGCCCAAGATAACATGCGCTATTAAGTCGCAAACTCGGGTTTGAACCTCATTCCGTCTGATGGCAAAGACATCTTATTATTTTCTAAACTATCCCTGTAGAATGCCATAGGTGAGGAAGATACAGGAGGCTCATTCAGTTTGTTCAACCCAAAGAAATGTCTCATACTTGTTGCAGATCTCCAAAATGAGTGATTTGTTTTTCCTTTTCTCTTCTATAAGTCACCTATAACTATAAAATGTTGGTCGATTATGGGTTCCAATTAGGTAGGTCTCTAATTGCAAAAATACATTTATTGCTGTTTTTTCAAGCTGGAAACATTTATATTTGTTATAGCAGTATTACCAAAATTGTTCCAAGCGATATTGATGCATATTATTTTAAAAGTTTAGTTAAATAAGTTAGAGAAATATAATAAACATAGTTAAATAGGTTCCTTCCTCCTTAGAACTTATGGGATTTTTATTATGCATTTGTGTCTCTAAAAGAAAACGGCAGTATTCTGTATTTCGCAAAGTAGCTTTGAGGCCTAATGTTTTATGGAGCCCATCCTGGGAAATGCTGGTCTAAACTGTTTAGTGGCAAGTAGGCTAATCATTCATCTGAGGTGATAACTGTTGTGACTGAGCTAACAAACCATCTTCCTAATCTCTGTTTTAAAAAACTTGATACTGCCCTGTGAGAACTTAAACTGAACATTAGAAAACGTAGGACCGTACGTACCATGTATGTGTTCATATAGGTAGTGTACTCAACTAATTTGTCATAGTGTCACTCTGACGCTATTGATTCTATGCTGTAGTTCATAGAACCATAGATAAAAAGGACTACATTTTTTCTAGACCTTGAAAAGACTGAGAACTAGACAAGTTACTAAACAAAACACTGAACTTTTAAATTAAAAGAAATGTTTTATGATTAAGTCTTTTGATCCTTGTATTTTCTGTTCGGTGTTTTTATTATGTGCCTTACTGTTTCATATTATTATCATAATAATATTTGATTAATGTCATCACCTCTGAATTTCATGCTAAATAAATATTGCTTATATTTTTTAATTAGGTTCTTGTAAAGCAAAGTTTAAAGAATTTATCTACATAACAAATGCAAGAAGCAGTAATTTCAGAAAACAGAAATGAAGGAAAAGGTGAAATGCTAATTATATTTTTTCTTGAACTGAATTCTTGAATATAAGACAGATAAAATGCATCTTCATACTAACTACAAATGCTGTATGTTATCTGGCTAAGCTTTTGCCTTGATTTACTGAACTTTGCACTTTTTCATTCCTTTCAGAAGTACATAGATACTTCCACTGACTATATAAGAATGTATTTTAAATATTTTAAAATTTATTAGAAATTTGCCTAACCTCAAAATAATGTATGACTCCTGGAATCTAGATCACTTAAAAATGAACAGTGACATATTTTTTTGGTTTTAGACTGTGAACTTATTTCAAGAAAATGAATACTCCTTAAGATTTAGCTTAGGGCCTTAGAATTATTGATAAATCCCTATTATTTATCTAATGTTCAGTTACATTGAAAGTGTTCTGAAAAACAAATAGAAATTAAAATACTATACAACATGATGATTTACACTGTACTTTTATCTTTTAAAACTACTAAATTAACAAGGTATTGTTTGAGTCATATAAAGTTTTTTTTGAAGTTTTTATTCATTTATCAAAGTCAACAGAATGTCTAGTATTCTTTTATGTATACAGTAAAGAAATTTAAAATGTAGATTTTTTTTCTCAAAAATCGTCCTATGTTGGTGGTAGAATGGTGGTAGTTGTAGCATCAGTCACCGTCATTGTCATTATTGTTTTAACATGATGCTGCTCCTGATTACAGATGGTGTACGTTAATAGCACCAGTGAAAATCATATCTTTTTTTTTTCTTAAGTTTTACATATGTCTTCTTTTTCCCCAATTGACATGCCCCCTCGCCCTTTCTCCCGCCCCCCCCCCCCCAACCATTCCCACCACGGGCAAGTCCCCACCGCCCTAGTGTCTGTGTCCATTGGTTATGCTAATATGCATGCATACAAGTCCTTTGGTTGCTCTCTAACCCCCCTTCCCACCTCCCCTGCCATTTGTCTCTGGATTTATTTTTGTTCATCTAAAAATCATATCTTACAATTTGTAACTTATTGCACATTGTTAATAAATGTCTATAGCATCCAAATGAGTACTGTAAAAGACTAATATAAAATGGTTTAAGGACTTATGTAAATATTAGGTAGAAGTTAATATTGTTTCTTGCAAAAGGACCACCTGCAAAAGCGATAACAAATAGTAATAATGAATAATTTAATGTACTTCATTATTTCAGAATATGTCTTAAAAGATAAAAGAAAAACTGTTTAAGAAATAGCAACATTAGACTTTCACATGGAGAAAATTTGATAGTACTTAATGGAAATCTGTTCAATTGAAAAGTTTCATTTATAAAAGATTACTATACAACAAAAGTAGAACAATAAGTTTAAATTAATATGTTAATGTATTATATGTAGAAGATATATACGTTTATCTTCTTTTCCAAGATGTATTTGATGTCATTTGTACACACTCCAGCTATTGCCTTGCTTTTGCATATGAAAACAGGAAATACTGAATTTGTTTTTATAAGTTATTAAATGTGAAATTGATAGCTGTGCATCAGCCTATTTATAAAAGTAATGTTATTTCCAAGAAAATGTTATTAGCATTGGCTATGTATTTGACTTTTTACATTCTTTATCTGATATTATTTATTACGTTGATGTAGCAATGTGATTCATAAATGTGAGGATTCTATGTAGTATAATAATTTAATTTCACCTTCTTTCAAGTTTGATTCAATTGATTGACTAAATGAAAATGCCTGTTCACTCATTTAACATACCCTGGTCTATGTTACCTTACCTGAATGTTCTCAACATTATTTGCTATCTAAAATAATTGAAAAATGCAGTTTACTTTTATCTTTGACTATAAATTATATTATCTTGCATACATGGAAAAATTGCCATTTAGGAAAGTCCTATAATGCACATTAAAAACTAAATTAGCTCATTAAAATTATTTATAATTCTGTCATTCTCCCAAGGAATACTACATTGTGATCTTTATTCATAATTGCTTATCAGAGTGAATGGATATTCATTTGTTTATAAGACTGTAGCATAATATTAAAATTGGAATAAATGAAATATTCTGGTCAATTAAAATGGAAAAGAATAGTAAATTACAATGATTCCCTATATATTATCACTCATGAACTTTAACCCTCTAATTAAAATGAGAGATAAAAAGAACTCTTTGGATTGTTGTCTATATCAAATGAAAAATTGTAAGCACTTTGAAAATAGTAATATACTAAATACATTTATGCTAGTATTCTCAGAATTTCCTTCTACAAATTATTCTTTGGAAAGGTGAAGTTATACATAAAATTTTAGTATTATCCTCTTTACAAAGAGTCTACGTGATGAAAGATTTGTGGTACCTCTCAGAATCATTTAATATTAAGAAAATCATTTAACTTAAGTTCCAATTTATCGTTCTTATTATAAAATATAGCTGTAAAGCAACCTTACATTCTTATATTATCTGAAAATAAATATACCTGCTCTTGAATCAAGAAACTTAGTACCTTGCTTTTATGTTTATCTGTGGAGTAATGTCTTTTTAAAAAATTGTCACCTCCAAACTTCGGAACTGTTTATTGGTTACCAAACCTCCATTGGTCTCATACCCTCTGCTATCATGCTACATGCCAATGAAATTAATCACAACACGTCTGTAGGTAAACAAATCACAGAGCCATAAAGCCTCTCAAAATGTACATTAGGCATTGATACTGTATATAATGTGGTCATTGGTACTGAGAAGCTTTCAGAAAGTTTACATGTGACTTAATGGAGTATCAGTTTTGCTCTACAGAAGTGATTGCTTAAATGGCTTAAAATAATTAAACCAACACAGCCCCTTTGGTACTAATTTTGGTTCTTTTGTAGGCATCATCTTAAGAAGATGACTCTTAGAAATTTACCAGTTTTCAAAATACACTCATTATCCTACTCTTTATAGCCATACAATAAATTAACATTTTTACATACTGCTTTTACTTCCAAAGGATGTAAAAATACCAATTGTGTAATAGTCAGTAAGTATACAATAAAAATTTTAGCGATAAGAAAGCATAGTTTTTTTCTTTTCTTTGTAAGTAAGTCATAAAATAATGGTATGTCTTGCAATGAGTCACATCTTAAATTCTGTGAAATATTGTAAGATGAAACTCACTGCAAAGATATAATTCTCTTTACTTTGTATATCTTTATAATTCTCTTTATATCACAATCAGTATTTTTGACACACGTCTTAAACTGGGGAATATATCTAAAATTGTGACTTAATGAATATTAATATACAGTGCTCAGAGAAAGTACAAGCATTATTATAAAAGTTTTCTGGAAAAGATAAGTTGTGTCAGTCTTGTAAAGGAAGAGAAGGGCACGTGTTTATGAACACAAGAAAAGAGAAAAGAAAAAGAGGATGGAGAAGGGATCTGAATGAATATAGATTTTCTTTTAATTGGGATTTAGTAGACAGTTTTTAGAAAAATAAATGTTTAAAAACGCAAGAAAGCAATAATGACAATACATCCTTTCATTTACCAGGTTGAAAAGACAGTGGTTCTATAGTATACAGTGTTGGTAAGTGTGCGAGGCAAGTGCTGACAAAGCTATACATGTTCAGAGGGAAACAGAAATATCTCAGAGTTTTGATCTAGAACTTTACTTCTGGGATAGTAATATCCCAATACATATATTTATAAATTTGCATGTCAAAAATATACCTAGTAAATGAAATAGTATATAACTATGAGAAAAAATGAAGTTCATTTATCATGCTGATATGAGATGATTCTACAAGATACTTTTATGGGAACACATCAAGGTATAGAAGAGGGTACGATATGCTTCTGTCTGTGTTAAAAACACACTTTTCTTGCAAAGAATTATATTTTAATATATCTTTATCAAAGTTATGTGTACAATTTGTTAAAAGTCAAAGAGCTCCAAAGGGTTTATGTAAAACACAGCATTCCTCTTTCCTCGTTTCCGCTCCTCAGAGGCGATCGCTTTCTATCTTTTCGCAGTTCCTTTTGGCACCTGCCTTCATATTTCAAGATAACATGCTTATACCAGTATTTCTTGATTGAATTTATTTTTAGTACATTACTGTTGACTTCCTACAATGGAGATGAGAATTTGGCTCTATTATACAAACCCCTTTTAAGACACAAACACACTCTCTCTTCCTTTTCCCCATCCTTTCAGTATAGTTAGAGCATAATTTTATAAATCAATTAGTGCAACATCAGTTACTATATTTCCTTCCTTAAACATCTTACTTTCCCCAGAGTTAATAATTTTCCCCTTTTCAGTCTGCTTAATTTTTGTGTAGTTCTCCTTTACCTATTATCAATTCATCCCAGACTCACCTCCAGGACTAAATACATATTGTTAACACATTGTAACACGTGAAGTAATGTGTAAATTTTTTATACTTTTAGAAATGCCTCCTGGAGCTCTCTGTCTTAGGATCCCATCTCGAATGGTTGTTACCTAGTCCTAATGCAGAACAACTTGGAAGCTCTGTGTGCATGGAATGAACTTTGATAGGTTTCCCTCGTTGCTGTTCTGACTGGGCCCTTTCCTCTGAGGGACTGTGACTAGTAGTATTGAGAGGTCTTTTCTCTATGGCAGACTTCTGCTGCCTGGTAACTCAAGCCCTGGCTGCTACTTGGTACAGAGGTCTTCTGAAGATGGGGCCATAGGCATGAAGAGCGCTATACGGTCATATAGTCAGCAAGTGGCATTGCACTGTTTTGAGTGTTTTTACCATGTCTTAGTTTACTTTTTCAAAAAAGCACATTTTTAAAATGTAGGATGTCAGTCTGGAAAATGTGGGAATAAATCATGAGGGTCATGTGTGGGGTAGATTTATTCACTAAATCTAGAGGTAGGTTACTTCTTGAAGCAGATACAGTTTTAAGAAAAAATGAAAGTATAATGGTGATTGTGAATTTATGGCACAACCACATGGTGTGAG